CTGAAACTTCTATTTATCGTGATGTCGGGGACTTCTTTCTGTATCTCGGCACATTCCTGCTTCATCGATCTTACGCTGCCTCATTCTTTATGCCAGTGGTGCTGGTTCTTTGGAGCTCTGAGCCCCTTTGGGTGTTCCATGAATGACAAATGCACACAGGCAGATCCCACAAATATATCACTCTGAGTGTCATAGACTTCCCGAGGCTGATCTACTACTGACCACTGCACCCTGTGCATGGGGTGGAGATAGGGGTGTGGTGAGGGGGGAAGATGGGGATCACTGAAATGGGTCCAGGAGGGTGGGGAGGACTATGCGGGTGACTTTACTATTGATAGGGAGACCCATGCCTGGGGAGCCTCAGTCAAAGGGGTCCTGGGTCACTGCCCCCATTTGTGAGACTCTGTGACTCTCCTGAGGACCCACCCCTGGGCTCCTCCTCAGGCTGGGGGTTCCTCTCCTAGCATCCTCATCAAGATCACCTGACTCCAGCAGCTGCCAACCCCCTGGGCAACGCCAAAGCCTCCTGGCCTCAAACGGGTTGGGTGACATTCACTTCCTTGCGCTGTCCTCCCGACCTGCTCTGTCATTAGGAATTGCCTGGGCGGCAGCAGTCACACTAACAGCAACAGGAGGAGATTGTGCTGCTGCCCCGCACCTCGGGGTGGCTCAGATCTGCTGGAGGCCCCAGGTGGGAAGGTGGATGCTGCTCTCTCTGGTCCCAGCCAAAGTGAGTCTAGGGGCCTGTGGTGGGGAAGGAGCTTGGCAGTGTTCTGGGCTGATGCTGGAAGGATGCAGGAGAATGAGAGAGAGAAACAGAAAGCAAGATAGAGAAGAGATACCTGTGGGTGGGGAAGTAGTCACAGCTAAAGCTATAGGAGCTTGCACTGGGGCTCCAGGAGGGAATCCCAGGTGCCTGGAAGTGTCACTGTCTCACAGGCTCCTTTGCTGGGGTTGGGGATCGGGGGTGTTTCTCTGCGCTGCGGACACCAGTCCCCCTCACCTTGTCCTTGAGATGGGCTACCGCTGGGGGCAGGCTCAGTACTGGGGTTCCTGAGGTCAGCTCCCTTGGTCCAGCCATTGCCTTCCTCCTGCCTCACAGGTGGCCAGAGGGGCATCCTTGTTTAGGGTAACTCTGAGGAAGGACGTTAGGGTAGTCACTTTTCTATCAGTGCTACTTCTTCTACTCCTTTGACCAAAGTCTGGAATGTCCCCCACGGAGATGCTGCCAAACTAGCAGTGTGACTTTGAACAAGCTCCTTAGGCTCTGAGCCTCACTTCCCTCATCCGTGAAATGGAGATAATACCTACCTCCCAGACTGTTGTCAGTATCAAATGAGGAAGGGATGAAAAATGCCAAGCACATAATTAGGAGTCAATAAATGGTCGCTGTTGTTATTTATGATTAGCTCAACACTGGTCCCACTTCACCTAGGAAGACTTTCCAGCCCTCCTCTCCCCTCAGTCTCCTAAGGCACCAGTGGGGATGCTCTTGGCACTTACTGCTGTTATGGAACATGTTTTTTGTGCTCAAACTAGGAGTATGTTTCTTGCATTTCTTCTGTTACCCTCTCCCTTACCCCAGCACCCAAGACAGAATCAGGCCGTAAGAGGAATTCAAGATGGAGAATGAAATGGGATTCCAAAAGGGAGAGAGGCAAAGAGGCAGGGAGCGGTCAGGGAAAGACTGAGAAAGGGAGGCAAGGTGGGGAAGGAGGTAGCGTTGTCCAGGTGTGAATGATGTGGCTCTCTCAAAGCACGAGAAGGGGGAAAGATTGCCTAGAGAGGCCATCCTTGGGGCAGGGGATGTCTTCCGTACTCCCCGGGTCCTTTCTACTTTCCTCTAACTCAGATGAAAAGTAGAGGCTCTCCTCCTTCCCTGCTTGTCTCAAGCAGGACTGTGTTTCCTGACTTGGCTAATATCTACTCACCCAACCTATCAACTGATTCTAACAATGTTCTACCATCTATGGAATCTTCTCTGTTAACTCCCTGTCACCTTCACCGGTGACCTCAGGTGAGTCACTTCCCTCTCTCTAGACCTGGATCTGCTCATCTCTGAAACTAGGAGTTTCAGCTAACTGATCTCTAAAGTCCTTTTTTCCCCTCTAGTATTCTTTATTTGCTCTTCTCTCGTCAGCCTTGATCTCTACTTCTCAGTTATTCAAACAACTTAAACCATTGATCATCAACCCTCCTTTCAAAAAAAAAATCTTTCTCAAGAAAACTTATAAATGTCCACTAAGGAACTTCCTTGAACACTACTTATCCCCAATATGTAAGCTCAGTACCTAGCATATAGCAGGTGCTCAATAAATATGTGTTGAATAATTGGATGGATGGATGGACAGAAGGGTGGAATTCTTGCCATCATATACTTTGGGGAGTTATGAAATGCAGGGAAACATATTAATAGTTGATTGGCTTAAGAAAATCGTGGCCATCCTGATTACAATGGCTGTTTGGTATAAACATTTACAAATGAGTTATGAAATGATAACTACTAAGAAACATTGGAATAACCATTTAAACTCTAATCCACGCCCATCATTTATCTCATCCATTGTCATCTGGCTCAGTTATTCTAACTTGAGGGGAGCTGTCATCCACATAATAAGGAACATTTTGGGATGAGAAGGAAGGAAAGGAAGGCAAATGCTGTGGCTGCCTCAAGAGCTGTGACAGGGGTCTCCAAGTCCCCTTTGGGAGAAGAGGGGGCAGGAGGTGGCCTGTCTTAGTAATGACAACTGCCATTTACAGTCAGAGCACTTACTCTGAGCTAGACTCTTCACTCACATAAGCTCACTTAATTCCCCCGACAACTCTGCGAGGAAGATTGTACCGTTATTATCAATTTCATCTTATGGACAGGAAACTGAGGCTCAGAGAGGTTAAACAACTTGGCCAAGCTCGTACAGACAGGAATGGATAGATCAATGATTTGAACCCCCTCCCCCAGCCTGGGGCCACACTGACCACCTCAAAGACCAAAGCTGGAAACTCCCGAGGAGGTATGGGGGCTGCCTCCAGGATCCCAGATTCCTTATCCCACCTTCAAATATTTTTTGCTCTTTCTTAGACTATGGGACATTTTCAATTCACCAAATGGATTTGGAGCCAAGCCAAGAGAGGGAGGGATTCTGAGAGATTTGTGATCTTAATAGTTGTTCTTCCTACGAATTGATTTTGTTCCCATTATGTCATCTCTCAGGTCTGGGGGCTGCCATACAGCTCTAACTTGTCAGTGTGTCCAGGGGTCTTTTATCTCTGTCATGGATGGAAGACTGTATCAATAACAAGGAATCACGGTTCCTTCTAAAGAAGCTGTTCTAGATACGTTTAGAATACACAGTTGTGCCACTGGAGACTTTTCAATGAGGACACTTGGACCTCACCACACACCCAAGTGAATGTTTCTCTTCAAAGCCATCAACTTGGGAAGCCTTGTACTTAAACAAATCTGCTGACAATATCTTTGGGGCCTCTCCTTTGCTCTCAGATTCTGTTTAAAACTCATCTTGTGGCAGGGCACAGTGGTTTGCATCTATAATCCCAGCACTTTGAGAGGCCGAGGCAGGCAGATCACCGGAAGTCAGGAGTTCGAGACCAGCCTGGCTAACATGGTGAAACCCTAGCTCTACTAAAAATACAAAAATTAGCCAGGCATGGTGGCACACACCTGTAATACCAGCTATTCAGGAGGCTGAGACAGGAGAATCACTTGAACCCAGGAGGTGGAGGTTGCAGGGAGCTGAGGTAGTGCCACTACACTCTAGCCCAGGCGACAGAGCAAGACTCCCCCTCAAAAATAATTAATTATTATTATAATCTTGTTTCTTTACAGTGACTCCATAGCTTTGCTATTTTTTTTTTCCTGAGGGAGTTTTGCTCTTATGCCCAGGCTGGAGTGCAATGGTGTGATCTTGGCTCACCACAACCTCCGCCTCCAAGGTTCAAGAGATTCTCCTGCCTCAGCCTCTCGAGTAACTGAGATTACAGGCATGTACCACCATGGCCAGCTAGTTTTTTGTATTTTTAGAAGAGACAGGGTTTCTCCATGTTGGTCTTAAACTCCCGACATCAGGTGATCCTCCCACCTTAGCCTCCCAAAGTGCTGGGATTATAGGCCTGAGCCACCATGCCCAGCCATAGCTTTGATTTCAAACAATATGATGCCACTTGATCACTCATTTACTTTCTTATCAGACATGGCTCCCAGTGACTCTTGGCCATTTCCAAAATATCAGACATAGTCTCAAAGCATGAAATTCTGCCTCCATCAAGGTTAATCAGATGCTTCTCTTACTGCCTCAGGCAGCCCCACAAGAAGAATCTGGAGAATGATAGCTGTGGCAGGTGAAGGAATGAGCCCATAGCTCCCTGACCGACCGTGTGGAGGGCCAGCAGGCATTTGGATGTGTAAGTTCAGAGCTTTGTTTTTTTAAACAGTCACTGCTTTATAGCCACGCTTAGCATGGAGGAATGCAATCCCATGGCTGGAGGAAATCCAATGGACTCACCAACACCAGGTGAGGGCAGAGGTTGAGACTAGCACAGGCTTTTCTGGAAAATAGTCACTCTGGGTGCAGGCCCAAATTGGAGACTGGACTGAGGCTGTGCATGAATCTTCTTAGCCACCTGCTTCCCCTGGGAACAGGGACTTCCTTTCTTCACCTCTGTCACTGAAGCAGGAAGAGGTGAGGTGGTGACCTCACCATGTGTGTACGTGGTGGTTGAAGTGAGACATCAGGAATTCCACACACCCTCCTGGGGTCCAGTGTGACTGGGTTCTCTGGTTCTCTGTCTCCTGACTCTCCCTTCCAGAAGCATCTGCTCATCTCCCCCTCTAGGTCTTCGATCACTTGGTTTGAGTCAGGTGGGCCATGGAGGAGGCACAGCAGAAGAGGCAATGGTTGGAGGGAGAGAGAGGGGCAGAAGACAGAGAGGGATAAAGGAGGCAGTGGAGGCAGAAGTGTAGGTAGGAGTTAGAACAGGAGTGGGAAACAGGAAAAACACCCCAGTGTTCACAACCCTTCCCGCCCACAGCTGAGCATGCCAACTCCCAGGGGCCATGTCAGAAGGGGAGAGCAAGGACAGCTCGGGCAGCGAGTGCCCCGTGTGCTACGAGAAGTTCCGGGACCTGGAGGGCGCAAGCCGGACGCTGAGCTGTGGCCACGTGTTCTGCCATGACTGCCTGGTCAAGTACCTGCTGTCCACCCGCGTGGATGGGCAGGTCCAGAGGATCCTGGTCTGCCCCATCTGCCGCTACGTCACCTTCCTCAGCAAGAAGAGCTCCCGCTGGCCCTCCATGCTGGACAAGAGCTCCCAGACCCTGACTGTGCCAGTGGGCCTGCCCTCCGTATCCCCACTGGACAGCCTGGGCCACACAAACCCCCTAGCTGCCTCCTTGTCTGCCTGGAGGCCACCCCACGGCCAGGCCAGGCCACCGGGAAGCCCGGGCCAGAATGCCCAGCTCCCCCTGGACCTGCTGCCCAGCTTGCCCCGGGAGTCACAGGTCTTTGTCATCAGCCGCCACGGGATGCCCCTGGGGGAGCAGGACAGCGTGCTGCCCCGCCGCAGCCTGGCAGAGCTCTCAGAGGCCTCCCCCGCGCCCCGCTCTGCCCGCGCCTTCTGCTGCCGATCGCGGGCCCTGCTGCTCATCACACTCATCGCCATGGTAGCCGTGGTGGCCGCTATCCTGCCCTGGGTGCTGCTGGTGAGGAAGCAGGCGTGAGCCACACCGCAGGGAGGCCATCGGGCTGGCTGTGGCCTGGGAGGGGGCAAGAGGCCCCATGGCAGCCCTGGTGCCACCAAGCTCCGAGGGACACGTGGGCAGACAGAGGGGAGGACCTGGGCACAGAGAGGGCCTTGGGCTTCCCCAAACCCCGCTGGGGCTTCAGCTGGACAGGGAGGCTGGAGCTGACTCTGCACGTGTGTGTTCTCCACATGAATCCTTAGCAGATATGTTCCCCTTCCTCTAGGCTGGAAAGATGGGAGGTCGCTGCTCTCCTGCGGGCTCACCAGGCCTGAGCAGCAGATCTTACCTGCCAGGTGACCTGCCCAAAGCCAGGTGGACTCCTCCAGGGACAAGGAAGTCCTGCTGGCAGACATCCTGCTGGGCGGGCCAATGGCAGGATCCTCCAGGCCAGAATTACCACCCAGGATTCTGTGGCTTACCCTTGGGAACAGACAGAAGCAGAGCCCAGAATCTCAGCACTCATCCTCAACCTCCACCATACTCCATCCCCAAGCCCTCCCTGTCCCCAACCTGCCAGCTTAGAAGGGCTTCCCTGAGGGAGAAGCTGATCTCAGAGGCTGCCCCAGGATTTCTGGGAGAATCAACAGAAACTTCCTGGAGAGCTGAGGCCACATGCAGAGCCCACAAACAGGGCCACGCCAGCAGAGTGGCCCACAAACAGGGCCAGAGGTCTCCCTGAACCTCCCAGGCCCAAGAAGGAATCCAAACTTTGAGTCCTGGGGTTCTCAAGGGTGGCAGGAAGTGGAAGGGAAGCCTGACAGTCGAGCCTTGACTCAGCTGAGAACTATGTGAGCAAACGAACCCCTGGGGCCCCTGCCTCCCTCCCAACTCATCCTCTTCCTCATGAACCAGCCACTCATTTAGAGGCCACACCAGCTCAGCCAGTTTCCGAGGCGGCCGGCCAGGCTGGACTGGGTGAGGAAGGGTGGGGAGGAAAACAGCTGTGCTTGTCAGGGATGCTGCCATCTCAACCAAAGAATGCTGAGGCCCAGGTGCTATCAGCTGCTCCCCAAGGTTTCTTTGCCCTGGGCCCCCAGGTTGGACTGTTGAGTCATTCAGGGATAGCTATAGGCTGTTTATTGAGGTCCATAAGTCAACTAACACCTTACAATGGAGAACAACAGAAACCTCCAGCGATTCCCAATAAGTAGTGGTCTGCACCCAGGCGTGCCCACAGCGAAGCCTCCCTCCCCCCAACCTAGATACCTCTAGGAAATTTGCTGTCTGTGGGGGAAAAAGCAGCACTCTACGTTTTATCTAGTTCCTAAATGCCTGCTGTGGTGGTCATTTGGGGGCCATTGGGGAATCGGGCCCCCCTACAGGGGATATTTGGGACACAGAGAGGGCTGCTTTAAAGTACTCGTGGGTTTCTCTGTGCCCATTCCAAGATTACAGAAGAGCCAGGTGCAGTGGCTCATGCCTGTAATCCCAACACTTTGGGAGGCTGAGGCAGGTGGATCACCTCAGGTCAGGGGTTTGAGACCATCCTGGCCAACATGGTGAAACCCCGTCTCTACTAAAAATTTTAAAAATTAGCTGGGCATGGTGGCACGCACCTGTAATCCCAGCTACTCAGGAGGCCGAGGGAGGAGAATTGCTTGAACCTGGGTGGCAGAGGTTGCGGTGAGCCAAGATCGCGCCACTGCCCTCCAGCCTGAGTGACAGAGTAAGACTCCATCTCAAATATAAACATTAAAAAGATCACAGAAGAGCGCAGGTGCTATTGGCGGGGGGAGGATGCGGGGAGGGATGCAGATGAATTCCATGGAGAAATATTTATTATAGGAATAAAAATAATGTTAAATGTGCAGACTCCAGTGAGTCAACCTCAGCCAGGATGTTTTCAACAGTGTCATGAATTTCTGGGAACCGGATTCTAGTCTTTTCAGATTCTGTTGTGTTTGCCAAAAGTTTCTTTCAAAATACCCTCAGTGTTTTCATATTGTTTAGTGGTGACCTGTAGGTGGAACTTCTTTTATTTTCAGAGAATGCCAAAAGCTATTTTTTAATAAAAGTATATATTTTCTCAAAGATTCCGGAGACTTTGCCATGTATGTGGGAAGCTCCAAGCCTGGACTTAAAGGACAATTCGCTTTAGATGAAAAAGTTTGAAATACAAATACAAATGGCTCCTACACACCTATTCAACCACACTTGCGAGAGATATTAAAATTAAAATTAATTAAAATTCTGCTGGTCTGCCGTTTTTCACCTGTGCTACTGAAGCTGACGGAGGCAGGGGAATGGTTAGTGGGAATGCGTATTGGTAAAATCCCTCTCAAGGGACATCTGACATTATCTATGAAAATTCCTGCTTTGATCCAGCAATTTCTGTTCTAGAAACATTCTACAGGTATATTTGCTGTGTGGGCAGCAGCATACATATGATGCTATATAATTGCAGTGTTGTTTATAACAACAAAGGATTGAAAAAACCCTAAATGTTCATCAATAGGGTACTGGTTATTTATCTTAAGGTCCAGGACACATCATGCAGCTGTTAAAAAAAAAAAAAGGAACAAGAAAGGACTCAATGAACTTATACAGAATGTCTCCGAGGTACAATGGAAAATGAGGAAAAGCAAGGTGTGGGACACTGAATACTGGATACTAAATTTGTGTAGAAAGAGCGAGGAGTAGGCCAGGGCGAGGCTCACGCCTGTAATCCCAACACTTCTGGGAGGCTGAGGCAGGCGGGTCATCTGAGATCAGGAGTTCAAGAGCAGCCTGGCCAACATGGTGAAACCCTGTCTCTACTGAAAATACAAAAATTAGCCAGGCGTGGTGGCACGAGCCTGTAATCCCAGCTATTAGGGAGGCTGAGGCAGGAGAATTACTTGAACCCAGGAGACGGAGGTTGCAGTGAGCTGAGATCACACCGCTGCCCTCCAGCCTGGGCAACAGAGAAAGAAAAAGAAAAAGAAAGAGGGGGAGGATAAAAATTTACATTCCTATTGGCTTACCTATGCATCAAAAAATTGGGAATGCTGGCCACAGTAGTTCATGCCTGTAATCGCAGCTCTTTGGGAGGCCAAGGTGGGAGGATTGATTGAGGCCAGGAGTTCAAGACAGGCTTGGGCAACATAGTGAGACCCTATCTCTATAAAAAAATTTTTTTGAGTAACATGGTAAAACCCCGTCTCTACTAAAAATACAAAAATTAGCAGGGTGTGGTGGCACGTGTCTGTAATCCCAGCTACTCAGGAGGCTGAGGAGAATCGCTTGAACCCAGAAGGCTGCACTGAGCTATGATTGTGCCAGTGTACTCCAGCCTGAGCAACAGAATGAGACATTGATGAGACAAAGAAAAGAAAAAGAGAAGGGAGGGAAGGAGGAAGAAAATTGGGAAGATATACAAAAAAGGAGTAACTGACTAGCCATGGAAAGGCATAAGAAAATGACGGAATGGGAATGAGAGTGTTCACTTTACCTTTTATACCTTTTGATGTTTTAACCAAGTAAAGATATCATTCAAAAACCGAACTGAAAAATTATTAGAAGCTAAAGATATCTTCAGTGTACACACCTCGTGTGTGGTGAGACTGCCCCAAGAACATTCGAGAGCTGCCAAACCGCCTGTCCTGTGGTTTGAGAGTGTCAGCTACTGGCTGATGGGGCTGGTTTGTCTGGTTAGAGGCGTGACATCTTATGCTTACCAGGTGCCCAAGGAGTAAGGTTTAAAGGTCGAATGTTCTCGGTGTTCCTGAGTCCCTGTGCATTTCTCTGGGCGCTGTCATTGAATGTACTTGTCTTGATTCCCCCTTCTCTTCTTTTCCGTTTTGTTTTCAAATAAAAGCTTTGGTTTTAAGCAACCACTGTGGGGGCAGGGCACTACAGGACAATACCATTAGACAGACAGATATAGATACAGATAAATGATAGAGATACACAGACAGAGGGATGGGTGCCTGGGGTTAAACTTTGTTGCTCTTCTCTTCCTCCTCTTGTCTAGAGGCACCCCAACCCCTGCAAAACAAACATGGGCGCGCGCGCACACACACACACACACACACACACACACACACACAGTGCCACTTCCCATCACAACTTTTTTTTTTTCCTTTTGAGATGGCACCTCGCTCTGCTGCCCAGGCTGGAGTGCAATGGTGTGATCTCTGCTCACTACAACCTCCGACTCCCGGGTTCAAGCGATTCTCCTGCCTCAGCCTCCTGAGTAGCTGGGATTACAGGCATGTGTCACCACACCTTGCTAATTTTTGTAGTTTTAGCAGAGAAGGGGTTTCACCATGTTAGTCAGGCTGGTCTCAAACTCCTGACCTTGTGATCCTCCTGCCTCAGCCTCCCAAAGCGCTGGAATTACAGGCATGACCCACTGTGCCCAGCCTCATAATAACCTTTAAGTGTAATACATAGTTGCACAGCCTGAGCCTACCAGGCAAGCTTAAGGATCCATAGCATTGCCAGTGGGGCCCTGGGGAGGGTTGCCAGGAACTTGGGTGGGCATATTAGAGACCTCTATGCCCCTCAGAAAGAGTTCCATGACCTCTCCCCTCACTGAACCCTGTGTGACTCACAAGACCACTCAGCTGTTATCTCCTTTTGACCTCCTTGTCAGTATACATGTCCTTTTTGGGGTCAAAGATTTCATTTTGAGACTCAGTATTGAACAGAGGGAGAAAGGAAGGCAGGCCTGGGAGGGCAGGGTGGCAGCAGAGGACATGGGAGCTGAGGAAACAGAGAGGGCCTCGGTGGGGAGAGAGGAAAATGATGGGGACACCCGAACAGGACGGTAGTTGGGAAACTAGGAAGGACACTAGGAAGAAAGAGGAGTGACACTGTGAAGGCCAGAAGGCAGGCAAGGTAGGAAGGCGGGCACCTCCGGCAGCTCCCCACGACTTCCAACACCAAATCACACTCAGCTCAGCCCCAGAGCCCCTGGGCACCCCTCTGAATGCCTGTCTTCAACCGCAAGGAGCTGGTTCCTGGAAACACCAGTCACGCTGCCTCACACCTCCAAGCCTTCCTCCAAGCAATTCCCACTGCCTTGTGGAGCAAATGTTAACATTCTTCCAATTCCAGTCGATGCTGACCTCACCCCGGAAGTTTTCCCTGACTCCAGAGCTCCCTTTCACTCCCGAATTACAGAAGCACCAAGAGCAGCTGGCTCAGCGAGCACTTTTCCTGTGGCCTCGTGGCTGTTGATTATTCCCTTGTCTCTCTCTCTCTCTTTTTTTTTTGAGGCAGTCTCCCTCTGTTGTCACCCAGGCTGGAGTGCAGTGACGCAATCTTGGCTCACTGAAACCTCCGCCTCCCTGGTTCAAGAGATTCTCCTGCCTCAACCTCCCAAGTAGCTGGGATTACAGATGCATGCCACCATGCCTGGCTAATTTTTTTTGGTATTTTTAGTAGAGACAGGGTTCCACTGTGTTAGCCAGGATGGTCTCGAGCTCCTGACCTTGTGATCTGCCTGCCTCAGCCTCCCAAAGTGCTGGGATTACAGGCGTGAGCCATCAAACCCAACTGTCTATCTCTCCTTTTAGATAGTAAACTTTCTACAGGCACAAACTTTGACCTATTTTGCACCTCCAGTGTCTAGTTTCAGGGTTGGCCCATTAAAGATGCCTCGAAACAAACAAACAAACAAACAAAAAGATGCCTCATAAATATGTGTTGAAAAGAGTCGCAGCAGAGGAATTCTTGCTGAAATTTTCAGTTATGAATAAAATCTAGGGCTACTTCCTTCACAGCACATTTAAGAACACACCTACTTTTAAATCATGAAAACACATGTTCTTTGCTTTCCCTCCTCTGGGTCATCCTGGGTATGAGGTTCCCACAAGCTGGGGCCTTTTTCAGTGCCTAGAAGAGTCCAGAGAGCCAGCTTGCAAGGATTCTGCTGTGACGTATGGGTTCTGTATAACCTGGCACCAAAGTCCTCTCCTTTGTCTGTGGCTCAGTTGCCCCATCTGTAAATTGGGGACAATACCAGCAACAACAGGGCCATTTTGTGGATTAAAAGAATGCATGACGTAAAGTGTAAAGAAAAGCGTTCCCACACCCAGGAGGCTCACTACATCTTCGGTATTCTTGTGAAACACGTGTCCTCTGTCACTGTGACACCCGTGTCTTTCACTCAGCAGAAGCCGTTCAGCACCAGGGCACTACACTGCCTCAGAAACCATCTGCAGGGACCAGGATCGGTAGCTCACGCCTGTAATCCCAGCACTTTGGAAGGCTGAGGCGGTCGGATCACATGGTCAGGAGCTCGAGACCAGCCTGACTAACATGGTGAAACCCCGTCTCTACTAGAACTACAAAAATTAGCCGGGTGTGATTGTGCATGCCTGTAATCCCAGCTACTCAGGAGGCTGAGACAGGATAATCGCTTGAACCCGGGAGGCGGAGGTGAGCCGAGATGGTGCCAGTGCTCCCCAGCCTGGGCGACAGAGCAAGAGTCTGTCTCAAAAAAAAGAAAAAGAAAAAGAGGCTGGTCGCGGTGGCTCACGTCTGCAATCCCAATACTTTGGGAAGCAGAAGCGGGTGGATCAGAAGGTCAGCCTGGCCAATATGGTGAAACCCTGTCTCTACTAAAAATACAAAAAAAAAAAAAAAAAAAATTTAGCTGGGCGTGGTGGCGCGCGACTGTAGTCCCAGCTACTGGGGAGGCTGAGGCAGGAGAATCGCTTGAACCTGGGAGGCGGAGGTTGCGGTGAGCTGAGATTGCGCCACTGCACTCCAGCCTGGCGACAGAGCGAGACTCCGTCTCGGAAAAAAGAAAAGAAAAGAAAAAGGTGGAAAAAGAAAAAAACATTTACAAGGAGCGCATGGCCTCCCTGCTGCCGTCCGGTCCTGAACTTGAAGCGAACAGGCCGAACATTCAGAAACCCGCGCAGCTCCCGGCACCGAGAGGCTTCCTCCTGCCCGGCTCCTTCAAAGCGGGATCTGGCCCAGCGCCTCTCGCAGCACTGGGAGCGCCTTAGAAACGCGGCCTCGGACCTATTTCCGCGGAAGCAGGGGGTGATCGGTGTCCCCGGTCCTCGCAAGGCCCCTCGCCACTCCGAACCGAATCTCGGGCGGGCCCTGCGATGCGGTCAGCAGACGCCGAGGTGCAGGGGCGGTGGCCGGCGTCGCGCTGGGGCTCGTTAAAGCACCGGCACGCTGGCCGCGCCCATGCCACGGGCTTGCGGCGACGGCGAGTGCAGTGATTCAGGCGACCGGCCGGCTGGCGTCCCAGCACCTCCTGGCTGCCCAAAGCAGGGACTGCCCATCTCTGGCTAAGGGCACGCCGGCCCCCCGGAACCTGGGAATGAAGGTACCAGGGTCTCCTGGGGCTGCTTGCTCCTTCATCACCCCCAAGGGCAGCCGGACACTGAGCATCCTTCGCCACTCGCTCGGGGACTACTTTTCCCAGAGGATTCCGCGGCAGCATCCGGGTCTCCGAAGGGAGGCACTAAGACCTGGAAGGAGGGATTTTGCAGTCCCTCGCAGTTTCCCTCCTAGCCAGTAGGTGACACAAGCCATACATTTATTTCCCAGTTTACCCCTCTTGCTCCAAGAGACATAGATCTCGCGAGATCTTTTGTAAACTTACAGAACCGGAAGCAACGTGTAAGTCTCTTCCTTTTTGCGGCCATCACCTAAGCGGGAGTTGGTAAGCAGTTGGCGGGCAAGGGGGTGTAATCCACAGCCATCCGTTCTTGGGCATGGTGGCTTCCGACCTCGAGAGCCCCGACACTCTCCCGTCGGCCAAGTAGCAGCCAGGGAGGGGAGGCTGGGATGGTTTTTGTTTACCTGTTTTCTCTTTAAATCAAGGACCTCGGGCCGGAGAGTGATGGAGGGACCAGGGAACTGGGGACTCGAAAACGAGCTGAGGAAAGGGAGTCTGTGGAAATAGAGTCTAGTCTGGGCAGTGTCGTTTCCTAAAGAATGATTTCGTATTAACTTCTCGGAACCTTCAGACCACACTTGCCCCCTGGGAGGCTTTTAGGACCCGAGACGTGCAGGATTTCCCAGGTTCGGGATGGAGAGCCTTATTCATTTTGGAGAGGCTATATGTATTCACGCTCAAGCCTGTAGAGGATGAACGTTGATTGTGCCTTCTAAAACGTGACGTTATATAATTAAGAGAACTGCCTTTGTCGGTCTGCTCTGCCGTAATTCAGCAGAGATGTAAGTCCAGTGTTCATTGCCTCAGGTGCTTCTGAAGGAGTTGTAGAGTGTAACTAAAAGGTCTTATAAGCCAAATGTTTTTGATGCAAAAGTCTTTATCCCATAAAAATACGGAAAACGTCCGAATAAAAAAATACAAGGTTTCGAGCTTCGGTTGATAGGCCCTTCCGATCAAGCAGTTTTTTTATGAAGTTTCAGAACATGACAGTTCCTGTGAGCATTCTAGACTGTCAAGATGCATTGCGGTTATTTGTTTGGAAGCTGGATGAGATCTTGGTCATTTAAGAGTCTTTTTAACTTTTTATTTAGCCGAAATGAAGTTCAATCCCTTTGTGACTTCCGACCGAAGCAAGAATCGCAAAAGGCATTTCAATGCACCTTCCCACATTCGCAGGAAGATTATGTCCTCCCCTCTTTCCAAAGAGTTGAGACAGAAGTACAACGTGCGATCCATGCCCATCCGAAAGGATGATGAAGTTCAGGTGTGTATCCCTACTTGTTCTCGTTGTCTTGATGGTTTAGCAGAGGGATTGCATCCTGAGACTCTTGCTCCCAGAGAGTGGCAAGTTTAGTCGAGCTAGGGACCAAAAAAAAACAATAAGTGAGCTGCTTTTCAGTTTTTAATTTTGATGAAAATCAATTTTCTTTTTTGTTTGTTTTTTAAGACAAGAGTCTCAGTCTTACCCAGACTGGGGTGCATTTGCCCAATCATGACCTACTGCAAACATGGCTCACTCCTGAGCTCAAGTGATGCTCAGAGATGGGACTTTTTTTTGTTTCGTTTTGTACACAGGGATGTCATTTTATTGCCCAGGTCGGTCTCCAACTCCTGGGGATCCTGCCCGAAACCCAATTTTCCCAAATGTCAGATGATGTGGCAATAATTAGATGACAGGTGGACAGATAATCAGAACATTGCTTTGGGATTATCCTTTTATCAATATGTTGTAACTGCCCAACAAGCTCATTGTGCCTTCTGTCCAGATGTAGCCGATTTATTTAGACATGAATCGCAATAAAGAAAGAGTTTAATTCATGCAGCGCCAGAATGGCAGACTGGAGTTGATTACTCAAATCAGTCTCCCAGAAAATTTGGGGACTGGAGTTTTTTAAGGATAATTTGGCAGGTAGGAGGCCATGGAGTGGGGAGTGCTGATTTGGTCACATCAGAGATGAAGGCATGGGGAGTTGAAGCTGTCTTGGTTTGAGTTGGTCCACAAGATCAGTTTATTGATCTGAGGGGCACCAGCAGATCTTTCAGTGCGGAGTCTGAAAAAAATATCATGCCAATCTTAGGCTTTACAGGAGTGATGTTATTCCTAGGAACAATTGGGGAGGTTTAGAATCTTTTGGCTTCCAGTTGCCTAAACCATAATTTATAGTCTTGCAGCTAATTTTTTAGTTCTACAAAGGCAGAAGGGAGTTTGTTTCAGGAAAGCACTGTACCATCTTTGTTTCAAAGTTAAACTATTTAAGTTCCTCCCAAAGTTTGGCCTATGCCCAGTAATGAACAAGGACAGCTTGGAGGTTAGAAGCAAGATGGAGTTAGGTCAGATCTCTTTAACTGTTATAATTTTCTCTCTCACAATTTTTGCAAAGGCGGTTTCAACATTTGGTCATTGAAGACACAGTTGAGGACCAATAAACAGAATTGCTCCAAATCTAGATTCAGGAGCTCTAACTGAATAGTGTCACATGATTGTTTGTGCTTACAGGTAAATAATTTGTTGAATCTGTTTAGGTGAAGGTTTATATAAATGATCTTTGGTGTAATCTCTAGTGCAGCTAGTGGTTAAAGCATTCTGGCAGTCTCTAGATTCACTTACACATCAATATTTTTTCATTCCTATTTAAGATGAAATGGGTTCCCAAATGAGCAGTGTGGGTAGAGAACAGCTGTTGGTCCCTGCTGTAGTAGTGCTAAACTTGCTGTTTTCAATACATATCAGTGCAAGGAAGTCACAAACTGGGAAGAAGAGTCTGTTCAGAAACACTTGTCCTGACAAGCTGAGAACCACTAGGATTCCTGTCAGTTAACTTTTGGAAAAGAATTGGTTTGTCCCCTTAAGCATTTATTGCTGTCCTCTGACTAGCACTAGGTTGGACACACAGATGGGTTCTGATGTAAATACTCTTGGTCTGTTGCTGCTTTTGAGATGGAGTAGGGAGTTCCTTGTTATCACCCTTTTACACCCAAAGTGGGCTCTTTCAACCTTTTAACATAATGATAGGGTGAACGCTGTATGCATGAGTTCACTTTCATGATTTACAAGGTTAATCTTTTATTCAAATATTTGTTACTTTTGAATTCTTGCACTTAGGTTGTACGAGGACACTATAAAGGTCAGCAGATTGGCAAAGTAGTCCAGGTTTACAGGAAGAAATACGTAATCTACATTGAACGGGTGCAGCGGGAAAAGGCTAATGGCACAACTGTCCATGTAGGCATTCACCCCAGCAAGGTAAGTGTTTTTCAGAATGCTCCAGAAAAGGAAATGATGGCAATTATTGTTGACATGTTATTGTTTACAGAGCATGCCCATAGAAATAGTCCTTGATTTTAAATGTGCTAGAAAAAATCATGTTTTCAATACTACTGCACTTGTATTGATAATTCTATTATTTAAAATGTTTCTGAAATCAAAGTGTCTTTAACAATCATTATGTATATTTTTTTTCTCTTTTGAGACAGTCTCACTTTGTCACCCAGGGTGGAGTGCAGTGGCGTGATCTCAGCTAACTGCAACCTCCGCCTCCTGGGTTCAAGCAATTCTCCCACCTCAGCCTCCTGAGTACTTGTGAATACAGGCATGCACTGCCACACCTGGCTAATTTTTGTATTTTTTAGTAGATACGAGGTTTCATCATGTTGGCCAGGCTGGTCTCGAACTCCTAACCTTAGGTGATCTGTCTGCTTTGGCCTCCCAAAATCTGGGAAGGGAAATGGCACTTTGGCCCTGTTGAGGTTTTTTTAATCTTTTTTATTTATTTATTTTTGTGGAGATGGGGGAGACGGAGTCTCACTCTGTCTCCCAGGCTGGAGTGCAAGTGGCGCAGTCTTGGCTCACTGCAACCTCCACCTCCTAGGTTCAAGCAATTCTGCCTGAGCCTCCTGAGTAGCTGGGACTACAGGAGGTGTGTCCCACCATGCCCAGCTAATTTTTTCTTTCTTCTCTTTTTTCTTTTTTGGTAGAGATGGGATTTCACCATGTTGGCCAGGCTGGTCTCCAAGTCCTGACCTCAATGATCCACCTGCCTCGGCCTCCCAAACTGCTGCAATTAACAAGCAAGGGCTGAGCCATAGCACCTGGCCTCCTGTATTAGAATTCAGCAGTAAGGCATCTTTGCAACCCTGAGAAATATGTATGAAACCATTTACAGATGTTTGAAGAAAAAAGAAAAGCAAAACTCAGAGGTTAAGATCCCACGAATAGTGATTATGTCTAAGCCAAGACAGAAAATCTGGTTTGATTCCCGTAGCAACAGATGCTTGCCCTGGATTTTTATGTGAATTTTCCCCAAAATTATAATTGCTCATAATTAATGCACAAATTATGGCCTCTGATTTATGTGTTTCAAGGTTTATGTTTAGTATAACATAATGAGTGCACATTGATTCTTCAAACACTGGGGTTGGCAGGGGGTGATCTTAGGTTGGTGCAATAAATGTAATTTTCTAACCTCAGAGAAATCAAAGGTTGATATAGTAAAACACCTGTATATCTCTGACCTAGAATTCACTATTAAAATTTTGCCACGTTTTCTTTATCCAGTTTCTCCACTCCCAGTGAATGTACTAAAAAAAGGATCATGACATTCACCTGTAATTATTTCAGTATATATCTCTTAGGACCAAGGACTTTCCCACTCTAACCTACTCCAGTCCTATTTTTGCTTCCCATCACCGGATCAGTTGTTTTAGGTCACCAAGCAGATTCTTAGTCTTTTTGTGCTGTACATGTTAGTGCAGCATGTGATGGTCAATCTTTGAATAACTCAATAGTCACCTTCATGTATCATTCCAGTCTTAGGACTTAAGATGTCTGGAAGCTCCTCTTCCCCTAAACTCAGTACTCAGTATCCAATTGCCAATTGTGCAGTTCAACTTAGATTTCTTAATAAATATCCCAAACTTGGCATGTTCAAACCATCACAATGTATGGCAGCTGTCTTCCTAATTGCTTGGGCCAGAATGTCATTAAATTTTTATTTATTCATTTTAATGCAGGTTCTTGCAATGTTGCCCAAAACCTAAGCCTCCCAGTGTTGGGATTATAGGCGTGGACCGCCATGTCCAACCAAAAATGTCATTTTGACTGATTCATTATGTACCCCACATCAGTTTATAAGATCTGTGGACTACTGTCTCAATACCTAGAATTCTGTCTGCTCTTTGCCATCACATTGGCCTATAAGACTTTAACTGATCTGGCCAGATGGAGTGGTTCATTGCCCATAATCCCAGCACTTTGGGAGGCCGAGGCAGGCAGATCACCTGAGGTCAGGAGTTCAAAACCAGCCTGACCAACATGGTGAAACCCCATCTCTACTAAAAATACAAAAAAAATAGCAGGGTGTGGTGGCAGGCGCCTGTAATCCCAGCTACTTGGGAGGCTGCAGCAGGAGAATTGCTTGAACCTGGGAGGCAGAGGTTACAGAGAGCCGAGACTGCGCCATTGCACTCCAGCCTGGGAAAGAAGAGTGAAACTCCATCTCAAAAAAAAAAAAAAAAAAAAACTTTGATTTTCCTTCACTTCTGACACATCCTTTTACATTCTATATGTTCTGGTCTGCTGGACCTAGGAACTTGGTAGAATTATAAATTCTAGGAGCCCAGGCCTAGTGAGGCAGAATTAGGGTTTGTGACCCAGGTGTCAGTTTCAACAAGCCCTCTAGTTGATTCTTACTCAAGTTTAGGAAGCACACCTGTGAAACTTTATAATCTGTTGCATTTGGACCTTTCAACTTGCTGTGCTCTTCCAGATACTTGTACACAGATCGATGGCTCACCACTTTAGGTCTCTTCAAATGTAGATTTGTTAGTAGGGCTTTTCCTGAACACTCTAGAAAGCCCCTTGGCCTCCTCACTTCCCTTCTTTCTCTATCAACGTGATGTACATTCACTTAATAAATGTTTTCAGTCTCCCTGCAGTGGTATGTGAGTTCCGCAACAGCAGAGATTGTTTGGTCAGCATGCTGTATTTCCAGCACTTCCTTTTACCCTTTCGTGGCCTTCATAAGACTAAAGTTTATCATAATTTGGATGTCTTTTAGGATTTGAACTGTTGGAATAAGATCTGTATTGTCATCACTAAAGATTTTGCAGGTGGAATTACGTGTGAATGCTACGTTTAATTTCTAACATTAAAATTCTGAAGTTGCTTTATAATTTTTCTGTTTTAGGGTGTTGGTTTTTGTTGGTTTTTTTTTTTTTTTTTTTTTTTTTTTTTTGAGAGAGAGTATTGCTTTTGTCACCCAGCCTGGAAGTGCAGTGGTGCCTTCCCAGCTCACTGCAACCTCCGCTTCCTGGGTTCAAGCAATTCTGCCATCTCAGCCTCCTGAGTAGCTGGGTTACAGGCATTCACCACCAAGTGTGGCTAATTTTGTTGTTTGTTTTTTGTTGTTTGTTGAGTCTCACTTGGTGGCCCAGGCTGGAGTGCAGTGGCATGATCTCAGCTCACTGCAGCCTCTGCCTCCCAGGTAGCTGGGATTACAGGCACGCACCACCATGCCCCGCTAATTTTTGTATTTTTAGTAGAGACAGAGTTTTACCGTGTTGGCCAGGGTTGTCTGCCTGCCTGCCTCTGCCTCCCAAAGTGCTGGGATTGGGGGCTTGAGCCACCACACCCAGCCTGAAGTTACTTTAGAAACAAAGATTTGTGTATGACAGTTTCTAAGACTGTCATGACAAAAGCAGAATGAATCGTATATATTTTTTTTAATAAAAAACATAATGAAGCACAGAAGAGGCTACAATAAGAATTACTGATGTCATCTTGCCTTTTCTCCTTTGTTGGTAGGAAATTAGTTAATATTTAAGCCAGGTTTGATGACTAAAGAGTAATTTCTGGAATTTTTAAAAAGTTAATCATGTCTTATTTAGGCATCCACTGCCTCGGGTGTGGGAAATGGTATTAAATGTTGGACTTTCCCATGTGTCTTGGTGATTATTTAAAGCTTGGGAGTGTTTTTTTCTCATTTTTCTGCAGGTGGTTATCACTAGGCTAAAACTGGACAAAGACCGCAAAAAGATCCTTGAACGGAAAGCCAAATCTCGCCAAGTAGGAAAGGAAAAGGGCAAATACAAGGAAGAAACAATTGAGAAGATGCAGGAATAAAGTAATCTTATATACAAGCTTTGATTAAAACTTGAAACAAGGAGTCTGTGTTTTGTGTGCGGTGATTTAGGGTACTTGTTTATAGTGGGCAGCAGCATTTCAGGATATATCAATAGTTTAGGGGGGCCTATAAGAAAACCTAGTTGGAAACACTTCCTCTTCTTGAAACTGCCTTTTAACTTTCTTCCTAAATACAGGCTATATAGATAAACAGCCTATATTTTTTTTACCTTACTGCATAAACGTTTGTATTGCCATTGGAAAGGAGGTCTTGCTTTCAATAGAAGGAGCAGCTTCTGTGACTTCCTGTAGCATCTAGATTACTTATTCAAGCTGTTCCTCTAGAGTGAGAGGCCTCAGGTTCAAGTTCTCTGATCTACCCATGGGGGCCCCCTTCACCTCGTTTTCTGCGCAAGTGCTGGTTGAGTGCCATGAGACCAAACTCGAACAGATTTTTAGTTGAAATAATGAAATACTGATCTAAAATGCAGTTTCATCAGGATGGAGTGAAAAGATGTGAGGTGGCAGCAGTGTCTGCTCCCGCTATACCTCGTTTTAAGGATCAAAACAGCATACTTGTTACTTTGCAGGCTGGAGGCTTTGCAGCAATGTGGAGGTGGCCCTAGTTAGGTCACTGGCCTGGCCAAGGTCACAGCTGTCGTCTAGGTGGAAGCGCTGCTCGGGGTCCCTTCCCCTCCGTGTCCCTTCGAGGGGGGTGGGACTTCCGGTCGGCGCTGATCTGCTTCCGGCGGAGGGTTCCGGAGGTGTGGCTGCCCGCGGACATCTAGGTGGAGCGGGATCCAGACGCAGCTTCCTCTGGTGTGTCCTTTTCTCCATCGCCCGCCAGCCTCAGCCGTTTAGCCCTGATCTGGCGGGGCTCGAATGGGCGTGGATCCGGGCGGTGGGAGCGGTCTGCGATGTCAGTGTAGGAAGGCTGCACGAAGGAGGCGACGCCCCAGCCCGGTCCTCAGGCGTAAGTGGGCGTGCCCATGTGGTGTGGATGGTGCGGGGACCCTGTATTCGGTTCCTTATCTGCACTGTCATTGAATCTTCAATAGCAATCGATTGTGATGTGTACTGGTCATCTCCCCGTGTTGTAGATGAGGAAATTGAGGCCCAAGTAACTGCTTTAGTCCGTAAATGGTAAGAGTCAGAAAATGAGTTCCCAAGCGTAGACTCAGCCATACCCCTGCTCTATCTCGCTAAAAACCTGCCTATATGCGACATTTTTAACTAAATGTCCTTTGAACATCTTTTGTGCTCAGCTCTGTATTCGTCGGCTCTCCGAGGGGGTACAGGCAGGTAGAAGCCTCTGTCCCTACCTTCTAGGTTGTAAACATCTGAACTGGTCGACTAAAGATGCAAAGCAAAGTGCTCCAGTGAGTGTGGTACAGGTTGTTGAGAGAGGAAGGAGAGATGGCAATTAGCTGAAGTTACTGAATATGTCAGGAAGGAGGCTGATTTCAGCTGGCAGTGATTTGGAAGATCAATGCGAGGACATTCCAAGTCGGAAACAGCCAAGGCAAAGACTCACAGGTGGATGAAGGGAGTAAACATGGCTTTGAAAGTATTTCCAGTTTTCTCTAACCAACTCGGTTATCACTTAGCTGTCAGCACAGATCACACTAGAAAGCTAATTGATTTAGGGTCACATTTCTTTCATGTTGCTTTTGGAAAAGATACTGAAGCCTAGGCAACATAGTGAGAGCCCATAACTACAAAAAAAAAAAAAAAAAAAAAAAAAAAAAATTAGCCTGGCCTGGTGATGCCTGCCTGTAGTCCCAGCTACTGAGGAGGCTGAGGTGGGAGGATGCCTTGACCCTGGGAGTCTGAGGCTGCAGTGAGCCGTGATCTTGCCACTGCACTCCAGCCTGGGTGACAAAGTGAGACTCTATCTCAAAAAAAAAGAAAAAAGAAAAAAAGATACTGAAAGCTTAGAAATCTGCAGGAGTGGGCAAATAAGATGAATAGGTTAATAGGTACCTTAGAGATTATGGGAAACGAGAGAGTCCAGGCCCCATCTAAAGCAGGGGTGTCCAATCTTGGCTTCCCTGCCACATTGGAAGAAGAATAATTATCTTGGGCCCCAAATAAAATACCCCAACACTAACGATAGCTGATGAGCTAAAAAAAATTGCAAAAATGTTTTAAGAAAGTTTATGAATTTGTGTTGAGTTGCATTTAAAGGCATCTGGGCTGTGTCAGCAAACAGGCTGCAGGTTGGACAAGCTTGATCCAAAGGAGGATGCCACCTCTCCATTACAGCCAGTTATTGCCAGGCAACCATGCCGCCAGGGCAGCCAGAACTTCTTTTCAAGAAAGCCAGAAATCAAGATTTTTTTTTTTTATGTGAAATCTCCCAATCTGTAATTAGAGGTGAGTCATTCAAATTTTTTTAAATTACTAGATGGACCAACCAAAATAGGTCTATTAGACAATTGTGGCCCTTGGACTATACTGTAGTATTTAATGGTATAGTAAGGACTGTATCACTTACTAAAGACTGAGATTTTGCATCTTTTGATTATAAATTGTTTCTAGCCTGTTGCCTTCATTCTTTTTTCTTTTCTTTTCTTTTTAGAGACAGGGTCTTATTATGTTGACTAAGTTGGTCTTGAACTCCTGGCCTCTAGCAATCATCCCACTTTGGCCTCCCAAAAGTGCTAGGATTACAGGCGTAAGCCACCATGCCCAGTTGCCTTCATTCTTTTATAGAATGAAGATGAGACTTTTCCTTCTGTTGCAGTCCCCTGAGGGACTCAAATAGCAACCAACACAGTACTCAAGTTTTGAGAGATGTTGGTTTCAGAAAGGAATCTGGAAGGTGCTCTTCCTGGATTCCATTGAATACCTTGTGGTTTCAAGTCTGTTAGAACTAGTAGGACTGGCCAGGTGTGCTGGCTCATGCCTGTAATCCCAATACTTTGGGAGGCCAAGATGGGCAGATCACTTGAAGCCAGAAGTCAAGACCAGCCTAGCCAACATGGCAAAACCTTATCTCTACTAAAAATACAAAAATTACCTGGGTGTGGTGGTAGACCCAGTGTTAAAAAAAAAAAAAAAAAGTAAGACCCTAGGATGGTAATAGCTATTCTTTGGGAAACAAAGTCCTGTGTCAACGATTTAATAGTACTGCTGGTAGATGAAACAAAGTGAAATTGGCTTCTTTACTGCAGGACTTCTTAGAGCCTTTTTTTTTTTTTTTGAGATGGAGTCTCACTCTGTCGCCCAGTCTGGAGTGCTATGGCCCGATCTTGGCTCACTGCAACCTCTGCCTCCTGGGTTCAAAGGATTCTCCTGCCTTTGCTCCCTGAGTAGCTGGGACTACAGGTATGCACCACCTTGCCTGACTAATTTTTGTATTTTTAGTAGAGATGGGTTTCAACATGTTGGCCAGGCTGGTCTCGAACTCCTAACCTCAGGTGATTTGCCCGCCTTGCCGTCCCAGAGTACTGGATTACAGGTGTGAACCACCACACCCAGCCTCAAAGCCTTTGATACATCAGTTTGCAAAAGATCTTGAACACAGGTTTAAAGAACATTTTGCAAATGTGCAATTTCTTCAGTTCTGCAAGGTGCAGTGCCTCATGCCTATAATCCTAGCACTTTGGGAGGCTGAGGCAGGTGGATCAGTTGAGCCCAGGAGTTTGAGACCAGCCGAGGCGTTCTGCAGCATGGCAAAACCCCATCTCTATAAAAAATACAAAAAAGAAAACAAAAATGCATATTTTTCACATATTAAAATTTGAAAGTGTGTTAATACATTTTCCTCTCAAAGTTGTCATTAAGTCAGTGGTTTGATAATTAGCAATGTCTTAGAATCAGTATTCATGATTAACCGGTAATGCTGAGGAAGGGAATTTGAAGCCCTTGTAGTAGAGGACCTTCAGGACCTGGAAGCAAGTCCAGCTTAACTGAGACTCCTGCTCAGAGCTTTTAACAGTTTCCATCTTTCTCTGCTTCTCAGGATTCTGCCCTGCCCCTCAGCTCTGCATCTGACAGCTGGGATCTTGGGATCCTATTTTCCTAAGCTTGCCGGAATTCCTGCAGTCCTCATGTGAACTCCCTTGGCCTCACCACCATCCTGTCTTAGGGCTGTTCTAACTAAGGAATCCCAGTTTAGACAACTGAGTATCAAGTTCTCTCCCTAAGGAATTATCTGATCACAGTGGCATGGGGGCTCCATTTGGGGTATCTCTTTTCTGCATGATAATCTCCTGACATATCTCTGTGTACACAGACATAATATTTCCATTGGAAACAGATCCTGCCACCCCTATTAAGAGCATCAAGCCTGTACCTGAAAACATCTCCTGACCTTGGAGTGCCCAGGTTCACTTGGACTCTGCTTTATTCTGGAAATATTAATTCATCAGCTGCAGCTCTGGCAGCATCAAAACAGGCCAGATTGATAGACCCCTCCAGGAAAGCAAAACTTTCCTTCATCCATGAGGCTGTACTCATTGTGTTGGATATGAGACCTATTTCTTATTTTTTCCGTTTATTCACCTGACTTGCTTTCAGAGTCCTTTATGCTGCATGCCCTCATTCCTGGTGCCCTCTCATTTCTTCTCCAGTCCTGCTGAAGCTGCTCCTTAGCCCAGGCCCTATGACAGCAGCCAGCACTGTTTCCAGAGGCAACAGCATTTGAAGATATGACCAAAGATTGGAATTATTTAGAAGCCTCTCAAAAAGATTATTACAGGGACACAATGCTGGACAGTTATGAGAACATGGTCCCACAGGGTAAGGACTCAAAATCTTCCTTTATTAATCCTATAGACAATTGTCAAGGGGAAACCGTCATTTAAAAATATCCCCACAGCTTTCTTCTTGATTCCCCCAAAATAAGGACAGACTCTTCAGCCTTAAAAAATTGTGTTGTTGGTTTTTTTGTTTTGTTTTGTTTTTTGTCTTTTTTTTGGAGGCAGTCTCACTTTGTCTTCCAGGCTGGAGTGCAATGGCATGATCTCAGCTCACTGTAACCTTTGCCTCCCAGGTTCAAGCAATTCTCCTGCTTCAGTCTCCCAAGTAGCTGGGACTACTGGCTCCTGCCACCACACCTGGCTGATTTTTGTATTTTTAGTAGAGACAAGGTTTCACCATGTTGGCTAGGTTGGTCTCAAACTCCTGACCTCAGGTGATCCGCCCGTCTTGGCCTCCCAAAGTGCTGGGATTACAGGCATGAGCCACTGCACCAAGCCAAGAAATTGTTTCTGTTGATTATGAGAAGACTCAGAAGCAATCCCTGGTATTAATTTCAGTTTAAGAGTTTGCTGTTAATTAGTCGGGTGTGGTGGCACATGCCTGTAATCCCCGCTACTCAGGATGCTGAGGTGAGTTCGATGAGGCAGGAGAATCACTTGAACCCAGGAGGCGGAGGTTGCAGCGAGCTGAGATTACGCCATTGCACTCTAGCCTGGGTGACAGGGCGAGACTCCGTCTCAAAAAAAAAAAAGTTTGCTGTTGTTATGTGGTACCTTTTAGCAACGTTCTCCCATTTATATCATTTTAAAGGATACTAGGGTAAGATTTTAGTCTGCTGCCTTAGGAGTTTCTGTTTATCCTCTCTCCTATTCAATTATTAATAACCAGTTGATTAGGTTTCATGCTAAAAGTTAACGGCTTCATTGTTTTTTCTGTTCACCTAAAGTCTAAAATCTCTACATATTTGTGATCTTCCTGATGTCAAATTCTATTGCTATGCTCTGGTTTTGGATGGTTCTAGTTGGCTTTCTAGCTGCTTTATACTATGTTCTATTATCATTCTTCCATGTAATCATCTTCAAAAATTAAATGAAAGAATTGAAGAACGTTAGAGGGAAAGTCTTCCAGGTGGGAGTGTCAGTGAATTTAACTTTGTTCTCTTCCTTTCTTAGGATCCTTCTTAGAGTTCTCCATGATGCCTCAGAGAGCTGGAAATGATCCACCTGGGGCTTCAAATGCAAGTGAAATGGAAATGGAGATGAGTAACATGAGAGAAAAGTTTCTTATGAGTGTAACAAAGTTAGTAGAAAGCAAAAGTTACAACAGCAAGGTATTTTCCAGAGAAAAGTACTTTCAAACAATAAAGGAAGTTAAAGAAGCTAAAGAAAAAGGGAAGAAGTCCTCACGTGATTATCGCCGTGCAGCAAAATACGAAGTGATCTCTGTACAGGGCACAGAGAAACTGATAGAGGCTACTCATGGAGAACGAGATCGAATACGGTATTATGTGCATAAAGAAGAACTGTTTGATATTCTGCATGACACACATCTCAGAATTGGACATGGTGGGCGGACACGCATGCTCAAGGAGCTGCAGGGAAAATATGGGAATGTCACCAAAGAAGTTATTGTCTTATATCTGACTCTGTGTAAACAGTGCCACCAGAAGAACCCAGTACCCAAGAGAGGCCTTGCACCCAAGCCCCTGACTTTTAAGGACATAGACTCCACATGCCAAGTTGAAATACTTGACATGCAGTCAAGTGCCGATGGTGAGTTCAAGTTCATTTTATACTACCAGGACCACTTGACCAAGTTTATTATTTTACGGCCATTAAAAAGCAAGCAGACCCATGAGGTGGTCAGTGTCTTGTTAGATATTTTCACAATTCTTGGTACACCCAGTGTGTTAGACTCCGACAGTGGCATTGAGTTCACAAACCAGGTTGTTCGTGAGCTCAGTGAGTTGTGGCCGGACCTAAGGATTGTGTCTGGTAAGCACTACCCTGGCCATGCCCAGGGCTCCCTGGAAGGAGCAAGCCGTGATATAAAGAACATGATAAGTGCCTGGATGCAGAGTAACTACTCATGTCACTGGGCCAAAGGTCTCCGATTCGTGCAGATGGTGAGGAATCAGGCTTTCGACGTTTCCTTGCAGCAAAGTCCATTTGAGGCAATGTTTGGTTGTAAAGCCAAATTTGGGCTATATTCCTCAAACTTGCCTCGGGAAACTGTGGCTACTTTACAAACAGAAGAAGAGCTAGAAATTGCTGAAGAACAGCTAGAAAATAGCCTTTGGATCAGGCAGGAAGAAAGGGCTGAGATTGGAGCTGACAGATCTGATATGGATGATGACATTGATCCCAATCCTGAAGCTACAGAACCCAGCACCTCGCAAGGGGCTTCCGGCCTCCTCTGCTGGTGAACAGATGCCTGCTGGGGGGACCGTCACATACAGGTGTGTGTCTGAGCATTAGAGTCATCTGAGAACTGTTGCCAGAGGCTCCAGGGGAAAGGATTGAAGGCCCCACTCTCAGGTCAAGTTGTACATAGTAGTCCTTGCTCAAAAAGGGAAAACTTGATTGGGTCTGTGTATTTATTCTTAGGGCTGCCATAAAAAATTACCACAGCCTGGCCGACACGTGGCTCAACCTATAATCCCCACACTTTGGGAGGCCAAGTCGGGCAGATCACTTGAGGTCAGGAGTTCAAGACTAGCCTGGCCAACATGGTGAAACCCTGTATCTACTAAAAATACAGAACTTAGGCCGGGTGCGGTGGCTCACGCCTATAATCCCAGCACTTTGGGAGGCTGAGGCGGTGGATCACGAAGTCAAGAGATCGAGACCATCCTGGTCAACATGGTGAAATGCCGTTCTCTACTAAAAATACAAAAATTAGCTGGGCATGGTGGCGCACACCTGTAGTCCCAGCTACTTGGGAGGCTGAGGCAGGAGAATTGCTTGAACCCAGGAGGCAGAGGTTGCGGTGAGCCGAGATTGTGCCATTGCACTCCAGCCTGGGTAACGAGCAAAACTCCATCTAAAAAAAAAAAAAAACAAAAAAAACTAGGTTTCAGTGAGCCGAGACTGTGCCACTGCACTCCAACCTTGGTGACAGAGCAAGACTCTGTCTCAAAAAAATAAAAATAAAAAATTACCACCACCTGGGTGACTTAACAGAAATTGAGTCTCACAGTTCTGGAGGCTGGAAGTCTGAAGTTAAGGTATCAGTAAGGTTGGTTCCTCCTGGAGGCTCTGGGGGAGAATCCATTCCATGCGTTTGTCCTTTCTCCGGTGGACACGGCAGTCCTTGGTGTTACTTGGCTTATGACAGTGTAAGTCCAGTCCCTGCTTCTATCTTCGTGTGGCCCTCTCCCCTGTGTCCATGTGTATTATTTTCTGTCTCTTGTAAAGACATCATCGGACACCAAATCTGTGTCAATGGATTTAGGGCCCACTCTAATGAGGATGATCTCATCTCAAGATCCTTACCTTATTTAGATCAGCACATACTCCTTTTCCAAATAAGGTCACATTCACAGGTACTAGAAACTTGAACTTGGACTTATCTTTTTAAGAGACACAGTTCTGGTCAGGCATGGTGGCTCACACCTGTAATCCCAGCTACTTGGGAGGCTGAGGCAGGAGAATCACTTGAACCCAGGAGGTGGAAGTCGCAGTGAGCTGAGACCCTGCCGTTGCATTCCAGCCTGGGCAACAGAGCAAGACTCCGTCTCAAAAAAAAAAAGAGACACAGTTCTACTCATTATAGTCAACAGAAGAAAATGTCTGCAAATAAGAGCTGATGGGGCCTCAAGAATGTAAAGCTGGTGGGGCTGCCCTAAATATATCTGACACGTATTCCTGCCCATCAGACACATACCCTAAAACATGAGGCATCACAGGAAAATAAATAGATGAAGGAAGGCTGGGCACAGTGCCTCATGCCTGTAAAGCCAACACTTTGGGAGGCTTAAGCAGCCGATCACTTGAGGCCAGGAGTTCGAGACCAGCCTGGCCAACATGGTAAAATCCTCTCTCTACAAAAATACAAAAAATTAGCCTGGCATGGTGGCACGGACCTGTAATCCTAGCTACTCAGGAGGCTGAGGTGGGAGGATCCCTTGAACCCCGGAGGTGGAGGTTACAGTGAGCCAAGATCACACCACTGTACTCCAGCCTGGACAACAGAGCAAGGCTCTGTCTCAGAACAAAAACGAAGTAAATGGAGGAAAAGTAATGAGAAGAAAAGCAGTTCATCCAAGATGCCCTAGAGACTGGCCACCTCACCAACTGGGCTGTTTCCTGCTTCAGGAGAAGTATGTACCATCCCTGCTCGCAGTGTACTACACAGAGAACTGTGTGACTGCATAAAACATATATTAAAATTAGGTCAGAATTAAGGTATGGCTGGAATTTGTGTATGAGTCTGCCACTTATCTGTGTCTCAAGCACTTAAAAACATATCCTGTTCCTGGCACAGGTCAGTGCCTTGCAGGAAGTGACCAATAGGGAAACAGTCGAGGTTTCTAGAACAAAATGCAAGAGTTGGGCTGAGATCACTGCTCTACCTAGAGAGGAGTAGGGCAAGGCCAGTCTGGATCATGGTTCAGAGCAAGGATGACTGACCAGCCACAGGGGAGGACAGTGCCCAGGACCTGTGTATGCCTACGTTCCCAATGCCTCAGATGGAGTGCCTAGCCCATTGAAGGCCCTCAGTGAATTTAATGAGTAAATGATTCTACACAAATGGGCATGGGGAAGAAGAAAGGGCCTGCAATATTTTATTCTTTATAAGGTGTCCTTCCTGCACATTCCAGAGCCATCTAAAACCCATTCTGATTGTCACTAGTGCCAGTTCCCTCTTCTGTAAGGGGCAGTAACATTCCTGATGCTGCCTACCTCACAGGATTGTCCCGAGAGACCAGCGAGATTCTGCATGTGAAGGGGCTTTCTCTATGAATAGTGAAGTTCTACAATGTGACTCATCTTGGCTGCAAGCAGATCCTGTTCTCCGCATAAGTGTGGGAGACCTCTTCATTACCATTTCTTTTCAGATTCAGCAGTGTTAAGTTGGAATGTATTCAGTGAAGCTGCATGATGATCACATAGGAAGTGACATCACTTTCCAGCTTGTTTTGGGGGGCCAAAATCTTGCTCTGTTCTTGGCCAGCACCCCAGTTTCCATCCTCCTTCCAACCCATTGGCTTTGTAATTCAGTCTAGCAGGTTTAGGAAGCCCAACTTTGACTGAGGATGTTACCTTCCCCTCCCCAATGCTGATCTTCTTCCTCCTAGTTACTTGGCAAACCAGGAACCACATCATCAACTCATGTGGGTAAAAGGTGACATGAGACATAACACTGCTTTCTTTCCCAGAGATGCCTGCAAATAACCTGGGTTTCCAGGAGCTGCCACATCACCCTTCCTCTTTTGCTTCTTAATATTGGCAGTGGGAAAGACAGGATTTCTGGGCCCAGTCTGGCCTGCATTATCATATTTCAGCATCTGGAATAGAGATCACCAACCAGTGTGCCACAGCTAGTCTCAGCTTGCAAATATATTTTGTCCATATGTTTAAATTTTTTTTTTGAGACAGTTTCACTCTTGTCGCCCAGGCTGGAGTGCAATGGCATAATCTTGGCTCACTGCAGTCTCCGCCTCCCGGGTTCAAGTGATTGCACTTACCTCACCCTCCCAAGTAGCTGGGATTACAGGTGCCTGCCACCATGCCTGGCTAATTTTTGTATTTTTATGGAGATGGGGTTTTGCCATGTTGGCCAGGTTGGTCTTGAACTCCTGACCTCAGGTGATCCACCCACCTTGGCCTCCCAAAGTGCTGGGATTACAGGCGTGAGCCACTGTGCCCAGCCTTTTAAATTGTTTTTAATTAATTGCCAACACTTTAAACACTGGAGATTTAAATCTGGATGTCTAACACCTCTTGAAAACTCGGCACATGTGGCCACAGTGGGCCCACAATTTCTGCATGGCAGCAAATGAGCCGTGGTGCCTGCGGCACTCTGCAGGTGGCCACCATCAGCCACTCACATACATACGCATTTCTGTGGCCCACTGCTAAAGAAAGGCCAGTGCAGGGTATGGTGGCATGCACCTGCAATCCCAGCTACTTGGGAGGCTGAAGTGGGAGGATCACTTGAACCTGGGAGGCTAAGGTTAAAGTGAGCTGTGATTGTATCACTGCATTGCAGCCTGGGCAACCCTGTTTAAAAAAAAAAAAAAAAAAAAAGGCCAGCAACAGAAGTATGTATCTCTAGGAATTTATGATAGAAGTGGCATTTCAATCAGTGGGAAGGGCTGTATTATTTAGTTAATAGTGCTGGATCCATTTGACAAAAATGGAGTCTGACCCTTAAACATTAATATTTTTTAAACTGTAATAAAAATATTGGGGAAAAAAGTTTTGTGATCTTGGAATGGAGAAAATATTAATGTATTTGGCTACATAAAAATAAAAACTGGTATGGAAAATAATGCCATTTAAAAGGAAAATAGGGCCAGGAGGGGTGGCTCACGCCTGTAATCCCAACAGTTTGGGAGGCCGAGGCGGGCAGATCACGAGGTCAGGAGATCAAGACCATCCTAGCCAACATGGTGAAACCCCGTCTCTACTAAAATACAAAAAATTAGCCAGGTGTGGTGGCGTGCACCTGTAGTTCCAGCTACTCGGGAGGCTGAGACCGGGGAATAGCTTGAACCCAAGAGATGGAGGTTGCAGTGAGCCACAAGGTTGCAGTGAACCAAGATCATGCCACTCTACTCCAGCCTGGCAACAGAGAGCAAGACTCCATCTCAAAAAAAAAAAAGGAGTAAATAGTCTGAGTGTGGTGGCTTATGCCTAATATCCCAGCACTTTAGGAGGCCAAAGTGGCTGGATCACCTGAGGTCAGGAGTTTGAGACCAACCTGGCCAAAATGGCGAAACCCCATCTCTACTAAAAATACAAAAATTAGCCAGGCATATTGGCGGGTGCCTGTAATCCTAGTTACTTGGTAGGCTAAGGCACAAGAATTGGTTGAATCCAAGAGGCGGAGATTGCAGTGAGCTGAGATCATGCCACTGCACTCCAGCTTGGGCAACAGAGTGAGACTCCCTCTCAAAAAATTTTTTTTGTTTTCTAAGAATCTGTTACGATTCTCTTTCTCATCCTTGGCTATTTCTTCTAGTCTCAGTTTCAGCTGTGACTTTATTGTGCAAGACTCCCTTATGCCTCTTCCAGGCTCCAGTCTTCTGAATACTTTGGGCTTCTCAGGGTCAATAATCTCCCCTAACATATTCTTCCTTCTGTTTTCCACTAGTTCTATTAATGGTCACCCAAGCCAGAAACCTCAGGGTCTCATTCTCCCTCACTGCCGCTAGCCAATTTGCTAAAACGTCATCCCTACCAGTGGCAGATTACATTTTCTAAATGTGTATGCAACAGTATATCTGTAACACATGTTCTTTTAGAACTTTGCACTTCCCTATCAAGAGATGGAGTTTTTATCACCTCTACTTGAACCTAGGCAGAAATTTGTTCTTTCCTTGACCAGTCTAGTACAAAAGAGTGATAATATGTGGCTTCTGAGGCTGTCATAAAAATACCACCTCATTCTCTTGGAATGGTCACTCTTGAAACCCAGTCACCATGTTCTGAGGAAGCCCAAGCAGCTTGTGGAGGCCCACATGGAGAAGTGTCAAAGCCCTGGGCCCTCATCCCTGGCTAAGCTCTTAACCAACAGACAGAACCAACATGCCAACCATGTGAGTGAGCCGTCTTAAAAGTAGACTTTCTGGCCGCAGTTCATCTTCCATTCAATACTGTATAGAACAGAGACAAGCCCTGGCCAAATTGCAGAGTCATGTGCACAATAAATGAATGTTGTTGCTTCAAGCCACTAAGTTTAGAGGTGGTTTGTTATGCAACAATATGTAACTGATAGGCTAACTCTGAAATGTCTTAAATCTATTGCCATCTCTCCATTCCCCCCAGGATAAGCCCTTGTTACCTTGGTTGATTGGAAGACATCCCATCTAGTGAATCTTCCAGAAGTAAAGCTCTGCTCAGAATAATAGTTAACACTACTAAATACTGATTTACCTACATTATTAGTACTGAGCTTTAAATTCATTTTCTTATTTATTTCTTACAGCCCAACAAAGTTAGTTGAAGCTGAAGAAATGAGTTTAAATAAGTGTATTAAGGACTTAATTTTCCCCTCTTATACAGAAAGAAATGAAGCTCAGAAAATAATAACTAGCCCAGGGTTCAAACCTCAGTGTTAAGTCCAAGGTCTGTGCTTGTAACCACCTCCCCTGCTCAAGAATCTTCAGTGGGTCAAGTGTGGTGGCTCATGCCTGTAATCCAAGCACTTTGGGAGGCTGAGGCAGAAGGACTCCTTGAGCCACAGGGTTCGATACCAGCCTGGGTAACATAGTGAGGCATGGCATTAATTAGCTAGGCATGGTAGCTCACACTGTAGTCCCAGCTACTTGGGTGACCGAGGTGGGAGGATCTCTTCAGCTCAGGAGGTGGAGGCTGCAGTGAGCTATGATTGCACCACAGCACTTAAGGGAAAAAAAGAATCCACAGGGGTTCCACATTACCCACAGGGTAACAATTTAAACCTGGCATCCATGTTGGAATATAATATGGTCCCAACTACCTTTGCAGCTTTGGAATTGAGGCATCAGGTCTAGGCACATGAATTTCCTGGTTGCACTTGTTTTTTGCGGGGTGGCAGCAAGAAACTCAGGCCATTTGTTGGCTTCTCTAGGTACTGCCAGAGTCACTTATTCTTTCTGGAACTTGGCTTCCTCATGTAAAGTGGGAGACAATTGAACCAACTCGTATTAAAGTTCTCTTCCACTTCTGCTCTGTGTAGTGTGAAAACTGTCATTTTGTACTTTTGTACTTCCTACCTCTTCTAGAACCCCAGCCCGAGCTTCCTGCCAGGGCACATGTCCCCACTTCTGAGATGGAGAGAAAATGGGAGGCTTAGAGATGAATGCTTTTGTGAATGTTCTCTATTTACCACTGTCTCAGAACTAGCTTTGGCCTCCTATTGTGGGATAGAATCTGCTTGTTTGCAGCTCTAGGGGTAGAAGGAACATTTTCTTCTGACATTTCTGAGATCCTATTACCAATGGTTTTTTGAGACTAAGCATTGGAATGTCATTAATTAGTACTGAGAAGGAAGGGCAGCGAGGGAGGCAACTGAGAAGCTCAGACTTAAGATCCTGCTTCCAAATTATTTTGCATGCTTTCTGAAAAAAGCATGGTCACGTTAGTGCAAACAGACCATTAAAGTATGGTTTGCCGAGGTTAGGTTCGATCACTGCGTAAGCCAGTTACCTCTGCAGTTACTTTAACCTTCTTCAATGTGGTGACTTTTGGTTGTTAAATTTTAAGGGGAAAGGTTTTGTTTGTTTGTTTGTTTGTGATTTACAGTTCTTCCGTTTGTTTTATGAAAGTTTTACGGAAATTGATTTGATACCTGAAATACTCTGAAATATAAAAGAGCAAGAGTTATGCCAGGACTCTTTCTCAAACAGTTGACTGATGGCAAAAGAAGTCTGTCCCTGGAATCTTCAGAATTTTGTTCAGAATTTTATTCCTTTGAACTTATTGAATTTGATTTCTTTTTTAGTTCCTGGTTCTCCTTATTTTTATCTTGGTGCTAATCTTTGTTTACCCAGGTTCTGACACTTTTACCCTAGAATTAATTACCCCAGATGGTTGACTCTACTGTGTTTTCCAAGCAAACAAAGTAGGCAGGAAATGTAAGCTTCCTGAGCAAACTGCCCTTCCGCTTCACTATGAGACTTTGCCTTTTAGAATCATATTGATCTTTGTCTACTTTTCTTAGTTACAGTTGATTTATGATTATTATTTTGGTTTGGATCTAGTTAGGGTTTCCCTTTTCCATTTAAAATTTGGTCCTGATATTTTGCTTTTTGCTTCCCCACATCTCAATTTGTTAAATCTTATTGTTCTGTTTAACCTGAACTGTTACATCCTTTCTGTTGACTAGCTCCTTGCTCAGAATAACTTTGCCACGCCTGGAATTTTGGCATAAGAGTTCTCTTTACAGTTATGCACGTCGCACGACATTGCGGGGTGGGTATGTAGCAGATGAGGGTTTGTGAGCCTTTCCTCTGGGTTTTGCACAAATGGGTCACCCCTAACTTTGGCGAGTCATTCAGTAGCCAGATATTTTCCTCTTTCCTCCTCCCCACTCGACCCCCACAGTTCAGTGTACTGTTCTTTGAATGACATCCCCTCTCTTTTTGCCTCTCTTTCTGATGCAATGGCAGGAATCCTGGAAACGGTTGCCTTAAATGTAGGGACCATTAGGATCTTTCTCAACTCATAACCCAGGTCACCTGTAATAATACAGCTGCCTCCCAGTCCTGAATAGGGTGTAGAGAGCCATTCCAGACACCTGAAACTGCCATCCTTCATCTCTAGATGCAGGGGCTCTCTGTATCAGGAAGAGAGCCTCTCTGAAATCCACTGTCATTCTGGGTTTTCCTTGACCAGGTCTCCTTACCTACCCCATTCTCTAGCCTGTCAGTTTCATTCATTGATTAGACATTTATAAGCACCAAGTATGTAACCAGGCGTCATGCTGGCCTTTGGAGGTACCAACAAATAAAGAGACTGCTAAATGCAGAAAAATGGGCACAGAGTAAAGATTTGTAAGTCTAAAGGAGTGCTCAGTGAGAAGTCACGCAGGCTAAGTTTTGGATCACTGCTGAACGTTCTCCATGCTGCCTACTTTGTATTAGAGGACTTCTGGCAAGGAAAATGTAACCAGCAGGATCCTCACTCAGAGACCTGGCAGACGCCACCTTAACTCAGTAATCAAAGTTAACCTCCCCAGTGTACATACAACTACTGCTGCTCCTGATAGGATGCACTGAGAACATTTCTGTGACATTTCTACCACTGATGCACTACTCGAAGCTAATTAAGAAGAGACAATATTGGAGACCAAGGCGGGCGGATCACCTGAGGTTGGGAGTTAAAGACCAGCCTGACCAACATGGTGAAACCCCGTCTTTATTAAAAAAAAAAAAAAAATTTAAAAAAAAAGAGACCAAAGACAAACCCCGATTGAGGCGCAATCTGCAAAATAATTGCCCGTACCCTTTAAAAAATGGCAATGTTGCCAGACATGGTGGCTCACGCCTGTAATCCCAGCACTTTGGGAGGCTGAGGCAGGCGGGTCACCTGTGGTCAGGAGTTTGAGACCAGCCTGACCAACATAGAGAAACCCTGACTCTACTAAAAATACAAAATTAGCTAGGCGTGGTGGTGTGTGCCTGTAATCCCAGCTAATCCAGAGGCTGAGGTAGGAGAATCTCTTAAACCCAGGAGGCCGAGGTTGCAGTAAGCCGAGATCACGCCACTGCAATCCAGCCTCGGCCACAAGAGCAAAACTCCATCTCAAAAAAAAAAAGGCAATGTTGAGAAAGACAAAGACCGAGGAGCTATTCCAGTTAAATAAAGTAGGCTAAAGACTTGGCAACTGAAAGCAGTGCCTGATCCAGGATCTTCTTTTATTATAATGAGCATCACTGGGACAGCTGGTAAAATGTGAATATTGTCTGAATATTATCATATCAAAGTTAATTTCCTGATCTTGAGGATTGTAATGTGGTTATGTAAGAGAATGTCCTTGTTTTAAGGAAATAGACGTTGAAATATCTTGAGATAAAAGATCATAATGTTGGTGACTTATTCTCAAATAGTACAGGAAAGTGTGTGTGTGTGTCTGTGTGTGTCTGTGTGTGTGTGTCTATGTGTGTGTGTGTCTCTGTGTGTGTGTCTGTGTGTGTGTGTGTCTCTGTGTGTGTGTCTCTGTGTGTGGTTCTCTGTGTGTGTATCTGTGTGTGTGTCTGTGTGTGTGTGTCTATGTGTGTGTGTCTGTGTGTGTGTCTGTGTGTGTGTGTCTATGTGTGTGTGTCTGTGTGTGTGTGTGTGTCTGTGTGTGTGTGGAGAGAGAGAAGGGAGGGACAGAGAGATATGAAACAAATGCAGTAAAATGTTAACATTTGGGGAATCTGGATGAAGAGTGGGAATTCTTTGTACAATTCTTGCAACTTTTCTCTAAGTCTACAATTATGTCCAAAAAAAGTTAGAAGAATTGACAAGTTCCCACCAAAGAGGAGACATAGCTTCCACCGTGGAAATACAGGGCAATAACCTGGCAGTTTGCTCTTTGGCCTGCAAAGGCAGTATTCACGTGAGTGAGAGTCACTCACCCTCAAGTCTGGCATTTGTTGTTGCAGACCCCAGAAGCTGCCTGAAAGCCTCCAGGCCTTGTGCAATTTCCACTTCCCTTCACAGGTGTCTTCCCGGCACTCACTGGAATATGGTGTCTGACGAGTTTCTAAACAGGCACGGAACCAGAATTCTCAGAAATACCAAGGAGTTTCTTTTTTTTTTTTCAAGCCGGGGTTTCACCATGTTGGTCAGGCTGGTCTTGAACACCTGACCTCAGGTGATCTGCCTGCCTTGGCCTCCAAAGTGCTTGGATTACAGGCATGAGCCACCACACACCGCCCTAAATACCAAGGAGTTTCTATCACACTGACCAGGCTTCACCTGAAACAGTGGTCCCCTACTTTGTACAATTCTTCCTTTCCCCTGGCTGCAAAATAGGGATTCCTGGCCTGTTTCTGCCAAATGCTCTGTGGAAGCAGAAAATCATAAGCCTTGTGTTTTCTCCATTGTAGAAAATTAGGCCAGGTGCAGTGGCTCACGCCTGTAATCCCAACACTTTGAGAGGCCGAGGCGAGTGGATCACTTGAGGTCAGGAGTTTGAGACCAGCCTGGGCAACAGAGTGAGACTCTGTCTCTGTAAAAAAAAAAAAAAAAAAAAATTAATTTTTCCACTTACTTGGCACTTGGTTTTGGGGGTGCTTTTCTATTGTTTGTTAATGGACTTCATTTTTTTTTTTTTTGAGACAAAGTTTCGTTCTTGTTGCCCAGGCTGGAGTGCAATGGCGTGATCTCTGCTCACTGCAACCTCCACCTCCAAGGTTCAAGCGATTCTCCTGCCTCAGCAAGTCTGTACTGTACATTAGGATTCACTCTTTGTGCTGTGCATTCTATGGTATTTGGGTCTCACTCTATCGCTCAGGCCAAGTGCAGTGGCCCAGTCATGGCTCACTTCAGCCTCAAACTCCTGAGCCTAAACCATCCTTCCACCTCAGCCTGCCAAGTAACTGGGACTATAGGTATGTACCACCATGCCTGGCTCATTCTACGGGTTTTGATAAATGTAAAATTACATGTAGCTACCATTAAAGTATTATACAGAATAGTTTCACTGCCCTAAAAATTCCCTGTACTCAGCTAGCTATTCATCCCTCCCTTCCCACTCCCCAAACTCCTGGAAACCACTGATCTTTTTACTGTCTCTATAGTTTTGACTTTTCCAAAATGTTTTAAAGCTGGAATGCTATAGTATGTTCCTTTTTCAGACTTTTTCTTATGCTTAGCAATGTGTATTTAAGGTTCCTCCACATCTTTTGTGACTTGATAGTCCATTTCTTTTTTGCACTGAGTAATGTTCCATTGTATGGATATACCACAGTTTATGCATTCATCTATGGAAGGATATCTTGCTTGCTCCTAATTTTTGGCAATTATGAATAAAGCTGCTATAAACATTTGTGTTCGGTTTTGTGTGGGCAATAGATTTCAGTTCATTTGGGTAAATAGGAGTACAATGATCATAAGGTTGTATGGTAAGAGTATGTTTAATTTTTTAAGAAATTACCTCTGGGCATGGTGGCTCACACCTATAATCCCAGCAATTTGGAAGGCCAAGGCAGGTGAATCATGAGGTCAGGAGTTTGAGACCAGCCTGGCTAATATGGTGAAACCTCATCTCTACTAAAAAATACAAAAATTAGCCAGGCATGGTGGCACACGCGTGTAGTCCCAGCTACTTGGGAGGCCAAGGCAGAAGACTCACTTGAACCCGGGAGGCAGGGGTTGTAGTGAGCCAAGATCATGCCATTGCACTCCAACCTGGGCAATAGAGTGAGACTCCATCTCAAAAAACAAAAAAGAAAAAAGAAAAAAAAAAAGAAAAGAAATTGCCAGACCAGGCCAGGCCAGGCACAGTGGCTCATGCCTATAATCCCAGCACTTTGGGAGGCCAAGGTCAGGAGTTTGAGACCAGTCTGGCCAACATGGTGAAACCCCATCTCTACTAAAAAATGCAAAAATTAGCTAGGCATGGTGGCATGCCCCTGTAATCTCAGATACTCAGTAGGCTGAAGTGGGAGAATTGCTTAAACCTGGTAGACAGAGGCTACAGTGAGCCAAATTTATGGCAATGCACTCCAGCCTGGACAACAGAGCGGGACCCCATCTCAAAAAAGAAAAAGAAATTGCCAAGCTGTCTTCCAATGTCGCTGGCCATTTTGCCTTCCCAACAACAATAAATGTGAGTTCTTGTTGTCTCATATCATCACTAGTTTTTGGTGTCAGTATTTTGGATTTTAATTATTCTAATAGGTGCAGTCATACCTCATTGTTTGAATTTGCAATTCCCTTGAGAACATATGATGGTGAGCATCTTTTCATATGTTTATTTGCCATGTGTATATCATCTTTGGTGAGATGTCTGTAGATTTTTTGCGTATTTTTAAATCTTTTGCACATTTTTTTCTTTTTCTTTTTTTTTTTTTTTTTTTTTTTTTTTTTGAGGTGGAGTCTCACTCTGTCCCCCAGGCTGGAGTGCAGTGGCACAATCTAAGCTCACTGCAACCTCCATCACCTGGTTCAAAAATTCTCCTGTCTCAGCCTCCCAAGTAGCTGGGATTGATTACCGGAGCCTGCCACAACATTGTGCTAAGTTTTTTTTTTTTGAGACGGAGTTTCGGAGTTTCGCTATTGTTGCCCACGCTGGAATGCAATGGCTCGATTTCAGCTCACTACAATCTCTGCCTCCCAGGTTCAAGTGATTCTCCTGCCTAAGCCTCCCAAGTAGGTGGGATTACAGGCATGCACCACCATGCCCAGCTAATTTTGTATTTTTAGTAGAGATGGAGTTTCTCCATGTTGGTCAGGCTGGTCTTGAACTTCCGACCTCAGGTGATCCACCCACCTCAGCCTCCCAAAGTGCTGTGATTACAGGCGTGAGCCACCATGCCCTGCCTTTTGCACATTTTTTAATTAGTTGAGTTTTAAGAATTTTTTGCAACCGGGTGAGGTGGCCTGTAATCCCAACACTTTGGGAGGCCAAGGCGGGTAGATCATGAAGTCAATAAAAAAGCAGGAGAATCGCTTGAACCCAGGAGGTGGAGGTTGCAGTGAGCTGAGATTGTGCCACTGCACTCTAGCCTGGTGACAGAGCGAGACTCTGTCTCAAAAAAAAAAAAAAAAAAAAGAATTCTTTGCATGCTGTGGAAAATAGTCCTTTATTTATTTATTTATTTGAGATGGAGTTTCGCTGTTGTTACCCAGACTGGAGTGCAATGGCATGATCTCAGCTCACTGCAACCTCCGCCTTCTGGGTTCAAGCAATTCTCCTGCCTCAGCCTCCCAAGTAGCTGGGACTACAGGGGTGCACCACCATGCCCAGCTAATTTTTTGTATTTTTAGTAGAGACGGGATTTCACCTTGTCGACCAGGATGGTCTTGATCTCTTCGTGATCCACCCACCTCGGCCTCCCAAAGTACTGGGATTATAGGCATGAGCCACTGCACCCGGCCAATAGTCCTTTATTAGATATGTCTTTTGCAAATATTTTCTCCCAGTGCATGCTTTGTCTTTTCATACTCTTGAGATACTTAGGTGTCTCGCTATGCTATCCAAGCTGGTCTTGAACTACTAGCCACAAGCAATCCTCCTGCCTCAGCCTCCGCCATGGCTGGGCTCGGCCCAACATTTGGTTTTTGTTTACCTTCTTTCTGTTTCTCTCAGAGCTTACTGGCTAATCTTGGCTAGAGCCAGAGACTACAAACTTGAACTAACAACAATATAAATTTTTTTAAAGCTGTTTTTAAGATAAAAGTTTATTTACTCCAGTGCATCCTCCATAGCAGTAGCCTGAACTGTGCCTGAAGCCCTTTGAGTCCCAGCTGGAGCTAAAGCAGCTGAGACACAGAGGAGCAGCATCCCAAGGCATCCCGGTACTCTGGGCTGCTTCTGAAACTAGTCTGTCCTCTTAGGCTTCTGGGCCTGTGATGGGAGAATGACCTTGAAGATTTCTGAAAGGGCTTTTTCCATTTTCTTGACTGTTAGCATCTGGCTTCCCTTCAGTCATGCTAATCCCTCTAGCAAGTGGTTACTCCACAACCACCTGGATTCCTCTCCTGAAAACACTTTTTCCTCCTCTATCACATGGGCAGGCTGCAAATTTTCCAAAATTTACTTTCTGCTTCCCTTTTAATTATAAGTTCCACCTTTAAGTCATTTATTTGCTCCCATATCTGATCGTAGGCAGTTAGAAGTAGCAAAGTAATGGCCAGGCATGGTGGCTCACACCTGTAATCCCAGCACTTTGGGAGGCCTAGGCAGGTGCATTCCTTGAGGTCAGCAGTTCAAAACCAGCCTGGCCAACATAATAAAACACCATCTCTACTAAAAATACAAAAAATTAGCTGGGAATGGTGGTGGGTGCCTGTAATCCCAGCTATTTGGGAGGCTGAGGCAGGAGAATCGCTTGAACCTAGGAGGCAGAGGTTGCAATGAGCCGAGATTGTGCCATTGCACTCAAGCCTGGGCAACAAGAGTGAAACTCCATTTCAAAAAAGAAAACCAGGGCATCATAATTATAAGACCACAGTACCATGGAGACCTGTTGAACTCAAAGGGCTTCTAAATGGATAGTAAGGTACCAGTTGGAATAATAGGGCATCCTGTTTTAACAACAGGCTGGTCTTGAACTCCAGGGCTCAAGCAATCCTCCTTCCTCGACCTCCCAAAGTGTGGGAATTACAGGTATGAGTCACCATGCCCAGCCCCCGCACATTCCTTCTGTAACCTCAAGATGACGTATAAGTTCCCATACCTTGTTGGGGGGTTGGTCTTCATTCTGATGGTTTCCATGTATACATACTAACTAAATGCCTTTTCTTTTATTAATTTCATGAGTTGATTTTTTTCAGCAAACTTCAGATACATGGTCTTTCCTCTGTATGCACAAGTTCCTGATGTCTCATTGCACACCCTAATCTCCTCTTCTTATAAGGACACTAGTCAGATTGGATGGGATTAGGGCCACCCTAACAACCTCATTTTCACTTAATCACCTCTTTAAAGACCTTATTTTTGTCTGGGTGCGGTGGCTTACACCTGTAATCCCAGCACTTTGGGAAGCCAGGGTTGGCAAATCACTTGAACCCAGGAGTTTGAGATCAGCCTGGACAACACGGCAAAACCCTGTCTTTACAAAAAATACAAAATTAGCAGGGTGTGGTGGCACATGCCTGCAGTCCCAGCTACTTGGGAAGCTGAGGTGGGAAGATCAGTTGAGCCTGGGAGGCAGAGGTTGCAGTGAACTGAGATAGCACTACCACACGCCAGCCTGGCTGACAGAGCCAGACCCTGTCTCAAAAACAACAACAACAAAACAAACAAACAAAAAACCTATCTCCAAATACTGTCACTTTCTGCATGTAAATTTGGTATGAGGGACATATAACATATGTCAAGATTTGGAACTTTGAGCTGGTTGATACTGTAATAAGATGAGACTTCTTGGGGCCTTGGGAGATGAGTGTGTGTGTGTGTGTGTGTGTGTGTGTGTGTGTTTGTATATATATATATATATATATATATATATATATATATATTTTTTTTTTTTTTTTTTGAGACAGAGTCTCGCTCTGTCACCAGGCTGGAGTGCAGTGGTACGATCTTGGCTCACTGCAACCTCTGCCTCCCGGGTTCAGGCAATTCTCCTGCCTCAGCCTTCCAAGTAGCTTGGACTACAGCCGCACGCCACCACTCCCAGCTAATTTTTGTATTTTTTTAGTAGAGATGGGGTTTCACCATGTTGGCCAGGATGGTCTCAATCTCTTGACCTCATGATCTGCCCACCTCAGCCTCCCAAAGTGCTGGGATTACAGGTGTGAGTCACTGCGCCCAACCGGGAGGTGAGTATATTTTACACGTGGAAGGACTGTAAATAATTTGTCACTACAGGGCAACAGGTGGTTTTTTTTTTTTTTTAGAGATGGGGTTTCTCCATGTTGGCCAGGCTCGTCTCGAACTCCTGACCTCAGGTGATCCACCCACTTCAGCCTCCCAAAGTGCTGGGATTACAGGTGTGAGCCACTGCACCCGGCCAGGTGGTTTTAAAATATATCCACAAATTCTTGATATTCCTCTCATCAAGAAATGTGTGCGAACATATATGAGTATATGCAATTTTTAAAATGGAATTCTTTTATTTTTGAGACAGAGTTTCACTCTTTTCACCCAGGCTGGAATGCAAAAGCACTATCTTGGCTCACTACAACCTCTGCCTCCCAGGTTCAAGCAACTCCCCTGCCTCAACCTCCCGAGTACCTGGGATTACAGGCGCCTGCCACCATGCCCAACTAATTTTTGTAATTTTTTAGTAGAGATAGGGTTTCACCATGTTGGCCAGGCTGGTCTCAAACTCCTGACATCAGGTGATCCACCCACCTCGGCCTCCCAAAGTGCTGGGATTACAGGCATGAGCCACTGCACTTGGCTAGAAATGAAACTTAATTCCCCTCCCCTATGTGTGGGATGGACTTTATAATTTGCTTACAACAAATAGAATATGGTGGAAGTAACAGTGCATTCATGCATTTCTTCTTAGACTAGAACATGAAAGGCATTGAACTTCCCCCTTGTTGCTGTCTCTTAGCTCACTCTGGGAGAAGTTAGATCTAAACACTGCTTGAGTATTTAGATCTAACTTCTCCCAGAGTGAGCTAAGAGACAGCTCATCAAGAGCTGCTGGCTCTCAGAATTACATGTGGCAAAGAACAGAGGCTTCCTGCCAACAGCCATGAGGGAACCATCTTGGAAGTAGATCTTCCAGCCCCAGTCAAACATTCAGATGACTGCAGCCCCAGGTAACATCCTGACTGTAACCTCATGAGAGACTCTGAGCAGGAATCATTCAGATCCAGCAATCCCACTATGGGGTACATATCCAAAGGAAATAGAATCAGTATTCTCAAGAGATAACTGAACTCCCATGTTTATTGTAGCATTATTCACAATAGCCAAGATGAGCCCAGGTGCCTTGGCTGACACCTGTAATCCCAGCACTTTGGGAGGTTGAGGCGGGCAGATCACCTGAGGTCGGGAGTTCAAAACCAGCCTGAACAACATGGAGAAACTCCATCTCTACTAAAAATACAAAATTAGCTGGGCATGGTGGTGCATGCCTGTAATCCCACCTACTTGGGAGGCTTAGGCAGGAGAATCACTTGAACCTGGGAGGCAGAGATTGTAGTGAGCTGAAGTCAAGCCATTGCACTCCAGCGTGGGCAACAATAGCGAAACTCCGAAACTCCGTCTCAAAAAAAAAAAACTTAGCACAGTGTTGTGGCAGGCTCCGGTAATCCCAGCTACTTGGGAGGCTAAGGCAGGAGAATTGCTTGAATCTGGGAGGCAGAGGTTTCAGTGAGTCTAGATCACATTACACTCCCGCTTGGGCAACAAGAGTGAAACTGTCTGAAAAAAATAAATAAATAAGTAGAAGTCAGTCATATACATTAGGCTGAACCATATAAAATTGCCAACATTTGGCTGGGTGCGGTGGCTCACGCCTATAATCCCAGCACTTTGGGAGGCTGAGGCGGGTGGATCGCAAGGTCAAGAGATCGAGACCATCCTGGTCAACAAGATGAAACACCGTCTCTACTAAAAATATAAAAAATTAGCTGGGCATGGTGGCACGTGCCTGTAATCCCAGCTACTCAGGAGGCTGAGGCAGGAGAATTGCCTGTTCCCAGGAGGCAGAGTTTGTGGTGAGCCGAGATCACACCATTGCACTCCAGCCTGGGTAACAAGAGTGAAACTCCGTCTCAAAAAATAAATAAATAAATAAAATAAAACAAAATTGCCAACATTTAACTGCTAACACAACATATATAGTTCAACCTAATACATAGATAGATGTATTAGGTTATTATAACCTAATATTATATATATAATTATATTATATGTTATATATATGTATTTTTTTTTCTTAAAGATGGGATTTCACCATGATGGCCAGGCTGGTCTTGAACTCCTAACCTCAGGTAATTCACCCACCTCGGCCTCCCAAAGTGCTATGATTACAGGTGTAATTACACCGCGCTCGGCCAGTATATATATGTATTTTTGAGACAGAGTCTTGCTCTGTCATCTAGGCTGGAGTGCGGTGGCGTGATCATGGCTCACTGCAACCTCTGTCTTCCAGGTTCAAGTGATTCTCATGCCTCAGCTGCCCAAGTAGCTGAGACTACAAGCATGTGCCACCACGCCCAGCTAATTTTTGTATTTTTAGTAGACAGAGTTTCACCATGTTGGCCAGGCTGGTCTTGAACTCCTGACCTCATGATCCACCAACCTCAGCTTCCCAAAGTGCTGAGATTACAGGCATGAGCCACCTCATGCAGCCCAATCTAATCCATATGTTTTTAACATACCTGATCTACTCATAATTTCTCCACGCACTCTTGTAGCTGGCTGGTATCATGGTTTCATTTGGAGGGATGACATGACCAAGTTCAACTATGGATGCTCTCCTGGGAGGCTGGCCTCTCTGGGTAACATGTCCAAGCCCTGATGGGCATTGCCAGCTTGCCCAAGTTGGCTTTAAAACCCAAATGTGCAACTTATCTTTTGGTCTTAGGACCTAACTCTAATGCTTTCTTTTCTTGCCGTGTTTTTTTGTTTGTTTGTTTGTGGTTGTTGATGTTTTGTGAGATAACGTCTCACTCGTCGCCCAGGCTAGAGTGCTATGGCACAATCTCAGCTCACTGCAACCTCCGACTCCCGGGTTCAAGCGATTCTCCTGCCTCAGCCTCTCAAGTAGCTGGGACTACAGGCGCATGCCACCACGCCCGGCTAATTTCTGTATTTTTAAGAGAGATGGGGTTTTGCCATGTTGGCAAGGTTGGTCTCAAACTCCTGGGCTCAAGCGATTCTCCCACCTCAGCCTCCCAAAATTCTGGGATTGCAGGCATAAACCACTGAGCCTGGCCTCTTGCCATGTTACATTCCTGCTGTTACGTGGTAGGTGGTGTGGGAGGCTTGGGTGGGAAGCTATAGCAGCCAGGGTGGGTGGTGGTAGTGGTGGTTTCCAGGGCACAGGCTCTATGTGTTCTCAGTCATCGGAGCTGGACACAGAGGGTGGGACTGCAGCTCAGGACACACCTGGGATGACCACACTCCTATTGTGTGCTCATTGTTTAATCTGCCTCTTACCTTTGGGCCATTTGGCTTTTGAATCCTTCACTATGCCTGAACCAACAAGGTGGTAAGTGATCTCTCTCTTCTAATCAGTTGTACCTCCTCCACCCACTAACTAGCAAATGGTGCGTTAGGGGTAACAGAAGTAAAAAGAGGCTTAGCTCTCTGGAGGTGTTTGCCCATGTATAATGCTCATGTATAAGTAGAGGTTGGGCAGGTTTAGGGGCCAACGGGTGCCAAAAGGCTCCTGGGCAGGAAGAACTGGAAGACAAACTTGTTCCTTCTCCCTTCCTCGCCCTCCTCCTCCAGCTTGCCTCAACAACAGCCCGACATGAGAAAGAAGAGATGGACAATTTATTCCACATCACTCAAGCTCAATCAAGGCAGGGAGAAAGCAGAGGAGTGCAAAGCTGGCCCGACGTCCTCCCTTTCTCACTCCTTGCAATGATGAGGACCAACCTATTCAAGGGCTGAGTGGAAGATGAGGAGACTGGGTCAGATGAATGGACAGAACTTGGTGCCAGGAGTTCTGAAAAAGTCACAGGTGTGTAACCTTCTGCTCAGAATCCAGAACTCCCTCCTGGATGATGGGGGTATCTGTGATCATCTGCACACCTGGAGATTCTTCTACTGAGCTGAAACTGCTGCTGCAGGACACGGTGCCACTGGGGTGGCTCAGAATCAGACTCCAGAAAAGTTTATGCTTGGAGCAGCAAAGGATCACTGGGAAAGGACAGGGACAGAGGAGAGGAAAGTTGTGAGTGGGAGGTAAAGTGACAAGCAGGGTGAGGCCCAAGGGAAGATAAGATGCTAAGAATCTAGCCCTGGGAATTGCCACACTCTTCCCTCCACACTTTCTCTGCCCTCACCCACCCATGTCCCTTCCTTCCCCCGGGGCCCTCTGGCCACTCACCACAGGTGACATATAGGACAAACACCAGCCAACCAATGAAATAGCTTCAGCCAATGGGGATGGATACACTCCTCTCCACCTGAAGATCCAGATGTTAATGGGGAACAGCATGAGAGTGGAGAAGATGAAGGTGACTAGGAGACAGGAAGCAGAGAGTTCTCATTGTCATGCAAGAGTCCCACGGTGGGGGGGTGGGGGGGTTCTTCCTCATCTGCTATGCTACGGCCACAAACCACATCACCACGCACAGGGTGGCCAGCCCCTGTGGTTTCAGGAGTCAACCCCTCCACTTCTACCTCTCCTATGACCAGGAAATGATGTAACTCAATTCTCAGTTCTATTCTCCCACCACCCACAAAACACCCACACCACCCCCAAAGAAAAGGGAGAGGGCCATGCATGGTGGGTCACACCTGTAATCCCAGCACTTTGGGAGCCTGAGGTGGGCAAATCACAAGGTCAGGAGTTTGAGACCAGCCTGTCAATATCGTGAAACCCCGTCTCTACCAAAAATACCAAAAAAAAAAAAAAAATTAGCTGGGCATGGTGGCAGGTGCCTGTAATCCCAGCTACTCGGGAGGCTGAGGCAAGAGAATTGCTTGAACTCGGAAGGTGGAGGTTGCAGTGAGCTGAGATCGCACCACTGAACTCCAGCCTGGACAACAGAGCAAGACTCTGTCTCAAAAGAAAAAGGAAGAAGAAGAGGGAGAAGGGCCTAGGAAGATGTGGGTTAGGAGAACAAAGGACCTTTTCCAGAGCTAGGAGGCACCTTCACAGAAGCTCAAGACAGCCCTGACCAAGCAGAAGGAGAACAGTTTCTGAACAGCAGGGAGATAGGACAGGTGAGGATGAGACCCAGCCCCAAAGTCAGCTTGAAGCTTAACTTGGCCAGCTTAAACATGGGCTGATTTGTCCACAACTTAAAACTGTCTGGGGAAAATGACAAAAAAACAAGATCAATTAAAGACTTACAAGATAACCTGATGACTATGTGCCTAAGTGAAAAAAAGGTTTACAAAAGATGAAATGTAATAAAATGAGCAAATACAAGAAAATGTACAGGTCCATTAATAACCAGAGAAATGCACATTTGAAATAACAATGAAATACTCCTTTCACTTCTTAAATAAGCCAAGATTCTTGATAATGGAGAGTGTTTGATAAACTCAGCCGCATGCAAATGAATCTCAACAGAAAAAATGGACAGAGGATTTCAACTGTAATTCTCCAGAGAAGGAGTACGAATGTCTGATAAACATATGAAGCTCGGCCGGGCACGGTGGCTCATGCCTGTAATCCCAGCACTCTGGGAGGCCAAGGCAGGTGGATCACCTGAGGTCAGGAATTCGAGACCAGCCTGGCCAACATGGGAATCCCTGACTCTACTAAAAATACAAAAATTAGCTGGGTGTGATGGCGGGCGCCTGTAATCTCACCTACTCAGGAGGCTGAGGCAGGGGAATCACTTGAACCCAGGAGACAGAGGTTGCAGTGAGCTGAGATAGTGCCATTGTACTACAGCCTGGGCGACAGACCAAAACTCCATCTCAAAAAAAAAAAAGATGCTTCTAGACCTATAACTAGACTAAAAGAAAATAAATAAATAAATAAAATAGTCAAGTAAAAGATAAATCTATTAAGTTGAATATTATAATAAGGAAAGTTTATTACATATTATAAACATAAAAGTTTAAATAATATATATTAAATGATAAAAATATAGACATGTGCCACGCAATGATATTTTGGCCAATGAGGGACCACATACACAACAGTGATCCCATAAGATTAATGGAGCAAATATAGAAACCTGATATCTGGCACTTGATACTGGCATTGCAGATAACATAGGGGAAATGATGGATATTCAGTAACAGTGCTGAGACATATAGTTTTCCATATGAAATAATACATAAAAATAAAAATACACATACCATCTAGGTTTATGTAAGCATACTCTGTGATGTTCATGAAGCAAAATCACCCAACAATACGTTTCTCAGAATGTATCCCTAGCATTAGTCAAAACATGAATATAATTTAAATAATGTAAAATTGTTTTTAAAAATTGAGTACAACTATTTCAAAATCATTCAAAACTTGTTCAACTAAAAATAAAACATGCTGGCAAGGAGTGGTGGCTCACACCTGTAATCCCAGCACTTTGGGAGGCTGAGGAGGGTAGATCACAAGGTCAGGTGTTTGAGACCAGTCTGGCCAACATGGCGAAAAGCTCTCTCTACTAAAAATACAAAAAACTTAGCTGGGCATGGTGGCAGGCACCTGTAATCCCAGCTACTCGGGAGGCTGAAGCAGGAGAATCGCTTGAACCCGGGAGGTGAAGGTTGCAATGAGTCAAGACTGCACCACTGCACTCCAGCCTGGGTGACAGAGCAAGACTCTGTCTCAGATAAATAAGTAATAAATAAATAAAAATTAAAAACCTGGCTGTCTTTGAGTAGCTCCATAGAGCATGCGCCTACGTGAGTTTTGGAGCCAGACACACCTGCCTTGCAATTCCAAATCTGCCATATTAGGTTGATCCATATGAAATTGCTCCTTTTGTAGGTGAAAAGCAGTCAAATATTAGCATGTCATTTGGTTCAATCTAATAGTTTTATGACCCTGAGCAAGGTACTTAATCTTTCTGAGTCCCAATGTTCTCATCTGTAAAATAGGGACAATTATCCCTATCTCTTAGGGTGGACTGAGGACTGAATTGAACAATGGAGTAAGTGTACAATAAATGATAGCTTTTGTTTCCCCAAATTTATTATAAGGACACAATACTTTCATAATGGAAGAAAATAAGAGCCGTGTGATTTTTTCATGCTAAGGAGAGTGAAAAATTGGAAATAAGGGTCAAAACCTCTGATCCCCAGGAGCTGAGAAAGAGCACCCAATTCTGAGGGGTGAGGGAACGGTATAACCAGAGACTAATGAGAATAAGAGACAGGCTGGGCAGGTGGCTCACACCTATAATCCCAGCACTTTGGAAGGCTGAGGTGGGAGCATCATGAGGTCACGAGTTCAAGACCAGCCTGGCCAACACGGTGAAATTCCGTCTCTACTAAAAATACAAAAATTAGCCAGGTGTGGTGGCATGTGCCTGTAGTCCCAGCTACTCAGGAAGCTAAGAGCCAGGTGTGCTGGCCAGGGCCTGTAGTCTGAGCTTCTGAGGAAGTTAAAGCAGGAGGATCCCTTGAGCCCAGAAGTTTGAGGCTGCACTGAGCTATGATTGCACCACTCCACTCCAGCTTGAGTGACAGAGTGAGACCCTGTTTCTAAAAACATCAGCAAAACAAACAAATAAACAAGAGTAAGGAATGAAGCAGCTGCAAGAATTCGGGGAGGGAAGGAAGATGGAAGCCAAATGTGGCAAAAGGAAAATGGTCCAGAAATGCAAGGCTGGAGGCAGAAGGAACGGAGAGAGTGTGGGATCACGGCCTGAGAGGGAACATTGCAAGAAGTCCTCTCAAAGCTCTGGGAAGGCAAGCCTAAGGAAGCCCCCTAATGAGTGATTCCCTTGTGCTAAGAGTCCATGTCCCTCACAACTTTTTTTTCTTTTCTTTTCAGACGGAGTTTCACTCTTGCTGCCCAGGCTGGAGTGCAACGGCACGATCTCCACTCACCACAACCTCCGCCTCCGAGGTTCAAGCAATTCTCCTGCCTCAGCCTCCTGAGTAGCTGTGATTACAGGCATGTGCTGCCACCACACCCAGATAATTTTTTGTATTTTTAGTAGAGATGGGTTTTCACCATGCTAGCCAGGATGGTCTTGATCTTCCAACCTCAGGTGATCTGCCCCCATCAGCCTCCCAAAGTGCTGGGATTACAGGCATAAGGCACCTTGCCAGGCCCAATTTTTATGTTATTTATTTATTTATTTTTAATTTTTTTTTGAGACGGAGTTTCGCTTCTTGTTACCCAGGCTGGAGTGCAATGGCGCGATCTCGGCTCACCGCAACCTCCGCCTCCTGGGTTCAGGCAATTCTCCTGCCTCAGCCTCCCGAGTAGCTGGGATCACAGGCACGTGCCACCATGCCCAGCTAATTTTTTGCATTTTTAGTAGAGATGGGGTTTCACCATGTTGGTCAGGCTGGTCTTGAACTCCTAACCTCAGGTGATCCGCCTGCCTTGGCCTCCAAAGTGCTTGGATTACAGGCATGAGCCACCGCGCCCGGCTTTATTTTATTTTATTTTTTTTTTTTTTAAGAGACAGATGTCTCACTAAGTTGCGCAGGCCGCTGGACTCAAACTCCTGAGCAATGCTTTTGCCTCAGCCTCCTGGGTAGCTGAGACTACAGGTATGCAGCACCATGCCCAGCTCTCTCACAGCGTTCTTGGAAGCACAGAGTTCGCTCTGGGTTTTATCAAAGGCAGTGGCATTTTCCATTGCACCAACCAAATCTATTTAGCCAGACCACGGAACGAGAAATGATCATTGGAGGTCTCAGTGTCAGTGGAACCGTCTTGCAGGCCAAAAAGTAAAGATGACCAGAGAGAGGGAACAAGAACACATCCAGCGTGTGGATGTAGAGGCCAAGATAGGCTGGAGGCCTGGGCTGGGATGCGGGATGAAGGGACTCACCTTTCCCATTCTCTAAATCGGAACAGCTCCTGGATTTGCAGGAGTACAGGAGCCCCAGGGACATGATGTGGGCTGATGTGAAGATTCTGTTGCTGATGTCTTCAGGCCAGCGCTGGTAGAAGCAGTTCCTAGAGAGGTACAGCCATTTCTTGGAGAAGGCCATGACCAACAGTAGGATACAGGCAACCAGGCTGAGCTCGGAAGGCAACACCTGGACCATCCAGTGGAAGCTGTGTGTGATTCTCCATCAAAAGGGCAGCAGAGAGTTCCAGCGCTGGTTTGAGGATCTGCTACTGCTGAGGGAGAGGGTGGAGGAGGGCAGTCTCCTATCTCGTCCCAGCGCACCTCTGCCCCAGCCTGCCTCCCTGCTCTTCCTTTCCTTTCCAGGTTTCTGATGTTGCTCTTTTCCTCCTTCTGACCTAGAGAACTCATTCCTAGAGTCCCCTGCATCCATCTTGAGCATCACTTCTCCCACTATCTCCCCCTTCCCTTCCAGGCTAAGTCTCTCTCATCTTTTAGATATTTTCATCAGCTGCCGCCATGGAGTCTGGGGTCTGAAAAAGAATGAGGGAGTCTAATAAGAGACCTTGATCTAATAAGAGACTCTTGATCCAAGAGAAGGTCCCAACCCATTCAGCGGTACGGGTCTCCTTCTCCTAACTGCCACGGAATTTTCCTGGGGCACAGTGAGATGGGGGAGGGGGACCAAGGTTTCAGCTTTTTTTTTTTGAGACTGAGTCATGCTCTATTGCCCAGGCTGGAGCACAATGACTCACTCAACCTCCACCTGCCTCCCAGATTCAAGCAATTCTAATGTCCCAGCCTCCCAAGTAGTTGGGATTACAGGCACATACCATCATGCCCGGCTAATTTTTGTATTTTTAGTAGAGACAGGGTTTCATTATGTGGGCCAGGCTGCTCTCAAACTCCTGATCTCAGGTGATCCATCCACCTCGGCCCTCCAAAGTGCTGGGATTACAGGTGTGAGCCACTGTGCCTGGCTTTTGTTTTTTGTTTGTTTGTTTGTTTTTAAAGAGAGACAGGGTCTTGCTCTGTTGCTCAGGCTGGAGTGCAGTGGGACAACCTTGGCTGACTGCAACCTTGAACTCCTAGGTTAAAGTGATTCTCCCACCCCAGCCTCCTGAGTAGCTGGGACTATAAGATTGTGCCACCATGCCTGGCTAATTTTTCAATTATTTGTAGAGATGGGATCTTGATATTTTGCCCAGGCAGGTCTCAAACTCCTGGCCTCTTGAGATCCTCCCCAGTTGGCCTCCCAAAGCATTGGGATTACAGGTGTGAGCCACCATGCCTGGCCCATGGCTTCAGCTCTAATTCCTTCTTTTTTATTATTATTTTCGAGACAGAGTCTCGTTCTGTTGCCAGACTGGAGTACAGAGGTGCAATCTTGGCTCATTGCAACCTCCGCCTCCCAGGTTCAAGCAATTCTCCTGCCTCAGCCTCTCGAGTAGCTGGGACTGCAGGTGCACACCACCATGCCCAGCTAATTTCTGTATTTTTAGTAGAGACAGGATTTCACCATGTTGGCCAGAATGATCTCAATCTCTTGACCTTGTGATCCTCCTGCTTCAGCCTCCCAAAGTGCTCGGATTACAGGTGTGAGCCACCACACCCAATCAGCTCTAACTCTGGAAATCCTTCTCCTCAGGCCACAGCTCAGAATTGTGGATCTGATACCTCCATCCAGCTTCTGCCTCCCTTTACATATATATGAGCAATAGCCTGTGAGAGGCCCTCCTCTGGTTTGAGATGGTTAATTTGTCCTCACCAAACCTCATGCTGACATTTGCTCCCAAGTGTGTTATGGTTGGGAGGTGAGAGGCCTAGTGGGTGCTGTTTGGGTCATGGAGGCAGATGCCTGGTGAACAGATTAATGCCTTCCCTGAGATCTCACTTTATTAATTCCCCACAAGAGCTGGTTGTTTAAAAGAACCTGGCACTGTTACCAAGCCAGAGGGCTCACTGCCTGATGTGCATAGCAGCCAATACTCCAATACTAGGGCACTAGGTTTTAAGAAAAGAAAAGCTTTATTGTGAGTTGACCCACAAGGATACAGGAATCCAGCTCGGTTCTGTCTCCCTTCACCGGCCTTCAGAGGGTACTTTTATTAGAAAAGTTTCAGGGGGTGGATTCTGGGATTAGCGGGTGATTGGTGGAAAGAAAGGAGAAGTCTAGAAAGTCCTCAACCATGTGCAGTTATCTCTTCATGCTTCTTCATGGGTGGCATGGGCAACTTTGTGGCATTAGTATGAAACCTCAGGTGGAAATTCAGGCTGTGACATCAGCAAGCTCGTTCTGTGTAGATTGCAGTCAGCCATATTGGTTCCAACTGATTTCAGCCAGTTCTGTTATAAGCAAAGGGAGTTTCAGCATTTCAGCAAGCTGTTTCTCAGCTGCCATCCTGTAAACTCAAACATGTCTGTTAATCGCTGGTTTCTTTCATTCTTTGCGGCACAGTTTCAGCTCCTCCCTTACCTTGTGATAGCTGCACAAGCCAGCTCCCCTTCACCCTCCATCCTAAGTGGAAGCAGCCTGACATTCTCACCAGATGCCCAATCTTGAACTTTCCAGCCATCAGAATTGTGAGCCAAATAATCCGTTTTTTCTTTGTAAATTATTCAGCCTCAGGTATTCTGTTATAGCAATACAAAATGGACTAGGACAGTCTCTTCTTCCTATTTCCTCTGCCCTAACCCCAACCCCAAATGTTCACTGATGGAGCAGGGGGAGGGAGCAGGAGCTTGTCCCCAGGAAAATATCCTCCCTCCAGTGTTCTTTGAAAATGTCTTGCAAAGATGTCATCAAGCTTCCCACTGCTTTCCCCAACTCCTTCACCACCCTCACATCTCTCTACTCACTGCTAATCAATCACCACCATTCCTTCCCTCTTCTTTTGACTTTTCCTTTTCCTTTTTTTTTCTCAGCACCAGAAAGAGGAGGGTGTAGGATGAAAATGGGGCCTGGGGGTGTCATTGCCATCTGAGATTATTATTATTATTATTATTATTAATATTTTGAGACAGAGTCATGCTCCATCACCCAGGTCAGAGGGAGTCTCTGTCTCAGAAACAAACAAACAAACAAAACATACACTTTGGGGTCCAACAGACAAAGGTATGAAAAGTGGGTCTTCCTCTTTTTTTTCTTTTTTTCATTTTCTTTGAGATGGGGTTTTGTTCTTGTTGCCCAGGCTGGAGTGCAATGGCATGATCTCAGTTGGCTCATTACAACCTCCTCTGCCTCCCGCGTTCAAGCGATTCTTCCAAGTAGCTGGGATTACAGGCATGTTCCACCATGCCCAGCTAATTATTTATATTTAGTACAGACGAGATTTCACCATGTCAGGCGGGTCTCAAACTCCTGTCCTCAGATGATCCATATGCCTCGGCCTCCCAAAGTGCTGGGATTACAGGTGTGTCCACCACGCCCAGCCGGGTGTTCCTTTTAATAGCCCTGTGAACCTGGATGTCATATCCTTATGCCTCAGTTTACTCATCTGGAACACAGGAACAATATTTTTCTCATGGACTTGGTAAGAGTGCTGAATGAGATCTAGTTCATAGTAAATTCCCAATAACTGGTAATTATATTGTTAAATTATGATTTTAATTGTTTTTACAGTCTTACACTAGCAAACAGGGAAGGAGCAAAAATGCAGGAGATAATTCCTGGCAGGATCCTTGCCAGTCGGTGGCATCTGCAAATCATGGAACAGAATCCAAATTAACTCTCCTTGTAAGCAAAAGAAGAGTTAACTATGAATCCCGATATCACATGTGCAGTGGGACCTCGGGAATGGTTGGAAGTGGAAATTCAAACCCTGTAAGGGTGCTTCCTCTGGCTTTGGTCTCTGCACCTCCCTGGGCATCTTGCTCTGTCTCTGCAGACCAGCCTTTTCCTCTGCTCTGGTCCACATGGTGGGAAATGTGGCCTTCACACTCCAAGCTGTGCATCAGACACCTCCAGCTGCCGGAGGGAAGACCTCTCCATCCCAAGTCCAAACATTCTCTGGCACTACCAGGGATGAGTGTCATCCTTTTTTTTTTTTTTTTTTTTGACAGAGTTTTGCTCTTGTTGCCCAGGCTGGAGTGCAATGGCACAGTCTCTGCTCACCACAACCTCTGCCTCCCTGGTTCAAGCGATTCTCCTGCCTTAGCCTCCCGAGTAGCTGGGATTACAGGCATGCACCACTACCCCTGGCTAATTTTGTATTTTTAATAGAGACAGGGTTTCTCCACCTTTGTCAGACTGGTCTTGAACTCCTGACCTCAGGTGATCTGCCCACCTTGGCTTTCCAAAGTGCTGGGATTACAGGCGTGAGCCACCAAGCCTGGCCTGAGAGTCACCCTTAGAATAAGCAGCCACACTCGGGGCACTGGGTCAAAAGACAGAATCTTGAAGACGGGAGAAAGAGGGGAAAGCGTGCTGGGAGAGGAGGTGGTGGGCCTGCTGGGAATGTCATTTACACAGAGCCAGCGTCATCACGATTGTGCTTCCTCCCTCGAATCCTCTTTAGTTTTTCAGTTTTTCCTGGAGTTTCTAAGGGTTTTTAATAATAGGCAGTTCTCACAGCAACACACAACATGGAAGAATCTCGGAAACAGAATGTTTACTGAAAAATGTGACCCCCCAGAAGACTACACTGTACAAAAGATGCCATTTTTATAGAGCTCATAACCAAGCTCAACAAACAAAGCATTAAGCTTCGTAAGCTTATGACTGTATGGTAGTTTTCAAAAAGCCAGAGGCACAGCAAACACAAAATATCATATGAAGGTTACTTCTCAGGAAGGCAGAGGAATGGGATGAGGAGTGTTACACAGGCACATACACATTTTTATTATTTATTTAATTTTTGAGAGGAGTCTCCTTCTGTCTGTCACTCAGGCTGGAGTGCAGTGGTGCGATCTCGGCTCACTGCAATCTCCGCCTCCCGGGTTCAAGCGATTCTCCTGTGTCAGCCTCCTGAATAGCTGAGATTACAGGCATTTGCCACCACACACAGCTAATTTTTTTTTTCTTTTTTTTTAGTGACACAGGGTTTCACCCTGTTGGCCAGGCTGGTCTGGAGCTCCTGACCTCAGGGGATCCACCTGCCTCAGCCTCGCAAAGTGCTAGATAACAGGTGTGAACCACCTCACCTGGCCCTTTATTTTGGTGGGGGGGGGGGACAAATCTCACTCTGTAACCATCTAGGCTAGAGAGCAGTGACACCATCATAGCTGAACTCTTGGGCTCAAGCAATCCTCCCATTTCAGCCTCCGGAGTGGCTGGATTACAGGTGTGCTAGTGCACCACCACACCTGGCTAATTTTTTTTATTTTTATTTTTAGTAGAGATGGGGTCTCATTGTATTGCCCAGTCTGGTCTCAAACTCCTGGGTTCAAGCCATCTTCCCACCTTGGCCTCCAAAGTGCTGGGATACAGGCACAAGCCACTGT